ATTTATATTTATTTAATATAAATTTGGACTAATTTGTAATAAAATGGATTAGGTTTCATTAATACTGATTAATATGAGTTTTTTTTTTGTTAGACTTAACAAATGGGTGTTTTGATCTAATTTGATTTTATAGAAAATAAATAAATTGATAGATCAAATTGGTCTATATTTTAAAATATATTATAATTTTTAACTTAACCTAATTTTCACTAATAAGTCAATTTTAATCCAATCGAAAAAAATATTATTAACAAAATGAATTAGAATATATTAAAATAAAATAAAAATATTTTTAAAAATTAAATTATAATAATGAAATTGATTTTTATTTCAGATATAATAATTTAATATATAAATTATAAGAAAATAAATATATTTAATCCCAAAATAAAAGATAAAAACTTATTTTTAATTATCATCATACTTTTTTTAATAATTTATTTATTTAAAATAATAATTAATCTTAATCATTAGATATTTAAATAAGTGGTTATTAAATATTTACTCTAATACTTACTTTTAGAATAAATAAATTTCTTGTCAAATTAATTTATAATATATATATAATAAAATAATATTATTTTTATTTTTTCTTATAAAATAATTATTATTTTATAAAATAGGACCATTCTAATACCCGAATCTATAAGTTTATATGTTAGTCTAATATAAACTCATGTACGTTATGATCTAAATGGATTAGAGTAAAATAAATCTAATTCAATTAAGTCAGAAATTTGTTAATATGTCGTATTTCTTAGATTTGTTAGTTAAGCCTATTTGACACCCATTATCATTTATCAAAGTATTTTCTTTTTTATTACTTCCCCAAACTATCCTTTTAATTTAAGTTTCTCATAGTTTTTATAACATGAGTACTATTTTATCATCAAACTGTTAGGTCTTTCGAGAAAGATTCTCAAGGAATAAACAAAATCAATGAGACATGAACATAACCCACATAAGGATTGATACCACTTTCAACCCAAAACCTTAAGGTCTTGGGTTATAGGTTATATTTCCTTATATGTTGCTCAACTTTTGCATTCTTACCCAATGTGGGACTTAGAATCACACTTACATTTTCTAACAATATCTCCTTCAAGTATGAATTCCTCCACATTATTACATTCCCTATAACACATTAGTGGTCCTTCCATGTACCGTCGTTCACTCTAACGGGACAGACTTACCTAACTCACTCTGTTAGGAAGACTTTCGATACAAAGATCATTCTAACCCACTACCGATCAACCTTCGGCCCTAGTACCACTTGTTGGGACTTTCGATAAGGGATTTACAAGAAAGAAACACACTAATGAGTCATGAATCCAACCCACATAAGAATTGACATCATCCTCAACCTAAAACCCTAAGGTATTAAATTATGGGTCTTTCTTCTTTATATGTTGTTCAACTTTCTCGTTCTTTCACATTATGTACCCCTCGAGCTCTCTAGTGGTCCTTCCATGTACCGTCGTTCACTCTAACGGGACACACTTACTTGACTCACTCTGTTAGGAAGACTTTTGATACAAATACCACTTTGTCCCACTGTCGATCAACCTTCAACTCTGATGCCACTTGTTGGATCTTTTGAGAGGGGATTCACAGGGGAGAAATACACCAATGAGACATGAGCTCAACCCATGTAAGGATTAACATCACTTTCAACCCAAAACCTTTAGATATTAGATTATGAGTTTTTCTTCCTTATATGTTGTTCAACTTTCTTATTCTTTCACATTATGTACCACTCGAGCTCACTGGTGGTCCTTCCATGTACCTCCTTTTATTCTAACGAGACACACTTACCCGACCCACTTGTCAAGAAGACTTTGGATACAAAGACCACTCTATCCCACTGTCGATCAACCTTCGACTCTGATACCACTTGTTAGGTCTTTCGAGGGAGATTTACAAGGGAGAAACACAACCAATGAGACAAGAACCCACCTTGGATTCCTAACACAAACCACTTTTAACTTACACTTTACCATAGATATATGGATAACTAAAGTGTGTACAAACTAAATTCTTATGCAATCTTTGTTTTAATGGCTTAGAAAGACAAACACAAAGTTTTGGCTTTTGAGGGATAAATATCTTTAAAAATATATATAGCAATTGTAATTATTAAATAATTAACTTTTACAATGAAAGAAAAATAAAATGTTTTTTCATAAAGAGAATATTTTTTAGAATGAATAGCAAAAATTATATTCAGAACTCTTTTATTTTTCTTTTCTTCCCTTTTTACAATATTGGTCTTTAGAAAATAATCTTAGTCACAATAACTAATTTTTTGAAAATAATTATTGAAATGACTTTTTATTCTTATTCATGCATTAAATGTTGTTTTTATTAAATGTGTTACTCGCACTTTCATCTTTTTCTAGTCTATGCTTCTTATCAATCTTAAACAATTTTTTTCCTTTAACAAAATATCACTTTGTTACTTTTAAGCATACAATTGGTAATGTTTATGCATTGAGTTTTTTAGAATTTTAATATTTTCTTCTATCTTCAAGGTGTTTGTTTATTTTAATAAGGATATCATTTAAAAAAACATTTGAAAAATTCTAACTCTCTCTTTTCTTTTTTACCCTCATCCATGATATAAAGAATATGAAGTCGAAATATTCTCGCTCATATATGAAACCAAATATAAAATTAAATTATTTATTGTCTCAATCTCTCAATGTCATTTTCTCAGCCTCTCAACCTCATTATCTCATACTTTCGATTTCATTATCTTAACTTATTTACTTCACCATCTCAACTTCTTAGCCTCACCATGTTGAACCCTTTGTCTTATTGTCTTATTGTCTTCTTCAATTTAATCTCTTATTCTTATCCTCTCGTCCTCATCGTTGTGGTCTCTTTGTCTCTACCTCTCAATCTCATCATTTTAACCTTTTAGTCTTATCCACTTGGCAACTCGATCTCATCTTGTTGGCCTCTTGACCTTACATTCTCAACCTCATGGTCTCATTCTCTCGATCTCATTATCGCATCATTGGTCTCACTGCCTCATCTGCATTATGTTGGTCTCTCAATCTCATCATTGTGGCCTCTCATTCTCATCATCTTAACTTAAGGGGGTGTCACTCAATCTAGTGATCCCATAAAAAAACATCAATGTTATGAACTTGACTTCATTGTCTCAATTCTTATCATCATAGTGCTTGACCTCATCGTCTTAGTGTCTTGACCTCATCATTTCAAACTCTTGACTTCATTATCTCAATCTCGCAATTTTAACCTTCTGCCTTGATCGTCTTGACCTATCGTCCTCATCATCTTGGCCTATAGGTCTTAACATCTCGACCAAGGATGATTTATCCAATCTGGTGATATCTCCTTAAAAAAATTCATTATCTTAGACTTTTTGCCTCATTGTGTTGGTTTTTTCATATAGATCTTTTGGTCCCATCATCTTGGTCTCTAAATCACTTGATCTCATTGTCTCAACCTCTCAATGTCATTATTTTGACCTGTTGGCCTCATAGTGACAACTTTTCGATCTCACTATCTCATCCTCTCGGTTTCATCATGTTAATCTATTTGTCTCATTCTTTTAGTCTCTTTTATTTCAACATCTCAATCTATTGGTCTCCTAGTCTCATCTTGATAGGTTTCCAGCCTCATCATCTTAATCTTATCATCTCATCCTTTGTCTCATAATCCCAATCTCGATCCATCCTTTCATAACCAACTTAAATCAAACTTGAATTCATCATAAAAATTATTCTATATATTTTGCTAAATTTAAATCAACTTTAATATTAAATTAGAGAGTTGAATTAGATCATTAATGGATATTTTGGAGAGGGCCCAAGAAAGGGACATTATCAATAATGAGACATAAGTCAATAATTTAAGAGAATATGACATTATTTTTAACATAAAACCGTAAAACATTAGGTTATGAGTCATTTTTATTTATAAATTACTTAACTTTTTTATGTATACTTTATGCAAGATTTCAACTCACACCTAGATTCTTAACCATTTTTCCTCAAGTGTGATGGTCTTCTACATTAGATCACCTAAATATTTCTTAATCGTGGGTACTTAGGAATCTTACTTATGTCATCGTTCAACTTAACAAAACTAGTTTACCCGAAACTCTTAAAGATTTTTTTACATAAAGATCCACAATCTCAAATATATCACTTATTGTATCGTAAAGATTCTCAATAATAAAACATAATTTAATTATATAAAAAAATATGATAGTAATAAAAATCTCAAGATATTAAATTATATATATTTATCTAAAATGAGTGAACTCTCTAATTTTTACTTTGGTAGTTAAATTTTTAATTATTATAATCACTTTTATTAAAATAAAAAATAAAGTAGTTGCGATTAAATAAAAAACATAAATAATTTGTATGTTGGGGTGAACAAAATCGAAAATACAAAATTTAGCTATAACTACATAACACTATGCATTGAATTAAAAAAAAAAACAGGTTGAATACCATAAACTTATTTGGAAAAAATAGTTAAAGTAATTGAACTATTTAGCTTTATATTATATTAATAGATTTTTTTAATAAATTTTAGCTGATTAAAAGACAAAATATATTTGGAAGTGTCGAAAACATTCATATACACTAATTGTATTCCTCTAATTTAATTAATGTTATTTTATCCTGTAACCCTTGCCGGCTCGCTACTCCCCCTCTACCAAATACATATACATATATAAAATTATAACATTGAAAAAGAAAATAATTATATAAAAAACGAATGATTTTTAATCTAATAAAAAAATATTAAATAAGAGTGTATTTTAAAAGAATACGTTGTAACGCACAACATCTCTCTCCCTGCCATATTCTCTTCCTTTCGTTTCCAACCTTTCTTCTGCAACTCAAGCCCAAACACTCTTCTTCATCACCTTAATCGTTTCATCTTCTTCTTCTTCAAACCAGTAGCAAAAACCGTGGCTTGAACCTTCAAACTCCACACCTTCCCTTCCAACTCTCATGCCATTCTCTCTTCACCTATCCACCAACCACCCCACACCATGGAACCTTTCAAACCCCAACGAACCAACCCCACCCACTAACCAAAACCTTTCCTTTCGGAGGGTCTCGCCCCTATCCTCGCTCAGAACCTCTCTCGACTGCGTCTACAATGGAGGGGTTGCAAAGGGGGCGCCTGTTCGGCTTCCCTTTGTGGTCATTAGGAGTCCTACCGAAGCTTCTAGATTCTTCTGGGCCGGAAACTGCCTGCAGGTGGTGACCGTCGACGGTGGCACCGCCGTGGATGCTGAGGTGGACTTCGACGATAAGGTGTTGAGGGTGTGCGGGTCCGTTGTGAGAGAGTTCCTCATTCCGAGAGGGGTGACGGGGAATTATGTGGAGTATGTTAAGTGGAAGCTTCTGCATCGGGTTTTCAGCTCCGCGCTGCAAGTGCTCGCTACTCAGGTAAGGCCTTGTTTGATTATTGTTAAAAAAATCTGTTGTGTGTTTTCTAAAAGTTGTTTATCTCTGCATGACATTTGGGTTTGTTTGGTGTGTGCTAACTGCAAATCAAACACTCACTCTGGGCACTTTTGGATAAAATTAGCTTATACATAAATAAAAAATTAGATTTTGGAGAAGCTAAGGCAAGAGTGTTTCTACGTACTAACTTAAAGCTCAACTCATTTTAGTCTATAGAGATATTTATTTCATTTTTTTTTCTTGTTTTATTCTCTTATTATAAGTGCTTAATGCGATTTTTTGTCGAATCATGCTCTTCGTTCCAGCAGCATAATTATGTTTCCTCAAAGTTTGTTCCCCGAGAACTTGAATGGAGCATTTGAAAAAATAAGAAGGGGAGGGGGAGAAAATGTCTCTTGGGTGTTAGGCTTTTTGGTTTTTAAGATAGTTTTTTGGAAACAAATAATAAATTTCATAACTTCATCAATTTTGGATGAAAATTGATTGCTGAGTAGCGTGGAATTACTTTAGAAAAAGGTTTTCAAAATCGAAATAGAAGTGAGAAGAGAATCAAATAGGTTGATTTGTTTAAGTTGAAACTATTGTTGGGCTTAAAGTTGTGAAGTGACTTTCTGTTTTGTGTTAACTGGCGGGTTGGATAAGGTGTGCTTTTGAATATTGATAGCACCTTATTTGTTAATTCCTTGTAGAAGTTTAAACTTTGTATATTAATCTATGGCCATGTGTCTTGCACATACCATCAGGAGTGTGCGTGTGAGAGAGAGAGGGGTGGAATTGTTACTTGCTTATTTGTGTGATTGATTTGTTTGCTTTTGAAAATTGATAATCCTGATGCATTAATTCATGTGGGAAAAAAAATAAAAATTCAAACTGGATTTTACCAATCTATTGCCACATGAAGCCTGTTAAGGTTCCAACATAAAACCAATTGGCAATATGTGGAGTAGCCTAATATGTATTTAAACCATACCAAATGATATGAGGTAGGCGATGTGAGACTTTCAACACACCCTCTCCAACGAAGCCTGCCGGACAATATGTGGAGTAGCCTAACATGTATTTAAACCATACCAAATGATATGAGGTAGGCGATGTGAGACTTTCAACACACCCCCTCCAACGAAGCCTGCCGGACAATATGTGGAGTAGCCTAACATGTATTTAAACCATACCAAATGATATGAGGTAGGCGATGTGGGACTTTCAACACACCCCCTCCAACGAAGCCTGCCGGACCAGACAAAGGGTACTTTTGACCCAACTAAAGGGCAACTTTTGGCCCATGACAATAACCGGAAAGATGTTAGGCTTTGACTCTGATACCATGTTAAGGTTCCAACATAAAATCAATTGGCAATATGTGGAGTAGCCTATCATGTATTTAAACCATATCAAATGATATGAGGTAGGCGATTTGGGACTTTCAACAAAGCCCATGGTGTTAGCAGGGGAGAAAGAGAGAGTGAGCTGAATAGGGTTCTTTGTATCATTATCACATAATGAATGTTTTGCACATTTTATCCTTCTTTAACTGATGAAAGTTCTTCTAGGTCTCGCTGTAGTGGCTTGCAATGCATGTTTGAACTTATAGTGTAATAATGGATTGGTCTCAGGCAATGTTTACAGCAATGGGAGTTGGATTCTCCAGTTCCCTTCCATCAGCTGCTGCCCTTAATTGGGTCTTAAAAGATGGTATCGGCCGACTAAGCAGATGCATATACACTGCAAGTCTAGCATCTGCTTTTGATACAAATTTAAAGGTATTTTTTTTAACTTCCATTTTCAAATGAATCTATTTTCCCTAACCAGAAGTTTCTGCAATTACCAGCACTGGATTCTTACATTTGATCAAAAAGTCACCTGAACTTAAAAAGTGTAGTGATTTGAAGAGATGATGGTGATTGAAACTGCAGTTTGACATGGACCAATTATATATTAAGAAATCTGATGAATCTTTCTCTTTATCTTTTTGGTACATGCTGTACAGAGGGTCAGGTTCACTACATCTGTTCTTTTTGTTGCAAGCATTGGACTTGAGTTACTTACTCCCACATTTCCTCGATGCTTCCTGCTTCTTGCAACCATTGCCAATATTTCTAAACAAATAAGCCTTGCTTGTTACTTAGCAACTCGGGTAAGGATCAGACCTCTGCAATACACAGTTCTCTAATAAATTTGTTCTTTTCTTTTTGGATGTCTCATGTTTGGAGTCATTCATTTACTGATATTATGTTTTTGATGGAATTTCTTTTATACCGTCAATGTGGAGTGTTTTTTAGCCGAAATAGTCCCTATGGTAGAAATTTATGAAAAGAATCTGTATGGCTGAAAAATAAAGAAAACTGTATTCTAGCTAGGCATTGAATTTATTAGACTTCCTAATATGAAATTAGGCAACAATGTGGGGGGTGAGGAGTTAGAAAAGAAGATTAGAAAGAAATGACCAATTCTTGTACTGTTAGAGATGTATTAGTGGATCTTACTTTGTGCTAGTATTTTGCATGTATGTGTTGTATGTTTGAATACAGATAACTTTTGTTTCACACAGATAGATATACCATTAGTATGTAATACAAATATTCTATGAAGTATGTGAATGGGTCCTCCGAAGCTCAGTTTTTCCATAGACCTCTAGATATCTGTTGGTAGGTAACTTTTCATACTGATTGCTAGTTTCCTTATTGTATATGAGATTTAAATTTTACCGTACCAACTTATAATCCATGTTCAATAACGCAAAAAGCATTTTGACAGCACGAACTGGCTATCTGGTCTTTTTATTTGATGGTTGTGCAGTTAATAAATTGAGGTTGTATCTTGTGATGTAAAAATTCCTGCATTTTGTCTTGTGTATAGTGATTGATAACCTATTTTGACCCATAATTGGTGTTTTTACATTTTTTAAACAGTCAGCTGTTCATCAAAGTTTTGCAATAGGAGACAACCTTGGTGAAATATCTGCTAAGGCACAGGTGAGCATGTGTGTTTCTTGTTTTCTCCCATAATATGTATCCTGAAGGTATTTTCTGAATTTTTTATATATTTCAGATTCAAACAGTGTGCTTTGACATCCTTGGTCTTATGCTTGCTGCACTTGTTAACATGTGTATAGAGAACCATCGAAGGTTGTTATCCACCACCTCCATTAATATTCTTTTATATATATATATATATATATATATATATATATATATATATATATATATATATATATATATATAAGTTAATACAATGTTCTTGTTGTCCATCTGGGGTATACTATAAGACTAAGAGCTGACTCCAGTGCATTTTTACCTCCAGAATTCAATTATCTTATCTTTAAAAAGGGGAAACAAAAGCTTTACATGATGTTACATAGCCAGTATTGTATTGGCGTTTGATACATATTTTCTTAACTTGAAATTATTTCCTGGCTTGCAAGACAACAAGCAGGTCTCCATTACCTTATTTATCCCTTTTTCGCTGCAATGGATCTCTTTGGGATTTATCAAGGATTAAAGCATGTACATCTGCAAACCTTGACTAAGGTACGTTTTATGGGGGCTTGAAATATAAATTTCTCTATTACTATATTTATCTGATAAGGGGTAGAGTTTCCTGAATTCATGGGCAGAGAGGACCTCCAAAAAAGAATGTAGAAGGGAAAAGATTTGATTCTGCATGTGCCATAATACGAAAATGCAGAGCTAAATAAAGATGAAATGAGTCATGGAAGCTAACAACCAACTCTAACAGAAATGTGCGCTAACAAAATAACAGAATGCCATATTGGCCTATTAGAATCTAATATGAAAATGTCATAGCAATATTCTAGATTCCTTATTTGTAACAAACAAAGTCTGCTCTCAAATTTTGCTTGACACTCCTTTTGGGCTTCCACACTTTCATTCATAACATTACCCCTTTCTGGTTTTTGTTTTATAGCATCAAGAATGTTTAGTTTACTGCCTTGTTGGTGTATTATTTAGGATAGGCTTGAAATTATTCTGAGCACTTGGATTGAGTGTGGATATGTGTCATCCCCTGCAGAGGTGAGCGAGAAAGAAGGAGTTAACTTTCTGGGAGTTAAAGGTGATAAGTCTCTTCTATTCTTTCTAGTACTGTCCAAATTGTGTTCTTCAGTAGTGTGCTTACAGTCAATTAATACAGTTCAGTTTGGCTTAGGTAAATGCTCGTGGCCAATTAGAATAGGTTGCTTAAATCCCAAGGACCAAATACCGATGTGGTCTATGAAGACAATACAATGTATTACAAATGAGGATTATTACTTTGTATGCGTGGAGTTCTTCAAAGGATTAAAAAGAACCAGAAAGGTGAGCTTTATTATGAGCGTAATTGACCTACTTTTCCTCATAACATTCTATAAATCAGTGTTTTCTAACTGTTCTTATTTTGCTTGTTTCTTTGGGTGATAAACCTTCTAGCCGTCTATCCTTCTTTCTATTCGCGAAGGAGCTGAAGCAGTACATATAATCATGGGTTTGTTGCAGGTGATATCACTATTCTTCTTAATGTTTTTTCAACTACTATCATTAATGCACCATTACTGCTAGCTAATTGTTTGGATCTGCTCTTGTCATGAGGAAAAGACAAAACAATTACAGTATGACCATGATTGTTTGTGTTGGGTCCCTTAAACATACACATAAATGCTAGCAATACATTTATTTAAACACAACCTCTAATATTGACCGAAATTAATTAGAAATCACAAAATTATGAGTCTCACTTATTTGATGAGTTTCACTCTGATTTTTTAATTTTTAATAAATTTTAACCAAGTCTGTCAGAGAGGACTACTCTTACATAAAAGCATCCAAATTCAATAAATTAATTTGATGTTTTGCTTATTTTAATGATCTTTTGATATGGCCCTAATAAACAAAATGTAATGTTTAGGCTTGCTACATCAGAAGGGCTCTACTTATGAACAGTAGTAGGTGGGAGATTATTATAGAGGAGAACAATGCATCAGACTCAACAATGGAGGATTGGTCTGTAATTGTTGAGAATGGCAAGAGGTCTGCAGAAAGGGATGTGCCTAGTTTGATTGAAAAAATGGTGGAAATGGGTTGGATGGTGAAGAACATTCTATTGTCCAAACAAGAGCAGATTCGATACAAGTTTGTGTGTGATTAAAGATAGTTTTCAAAATTTGGCTGGCTCCTTATTTCTATGGGAGTGTTTGGGGATACTATACCATTCATTTTAAGTTTAGACTAAGGAATAAGCTCAAAATTGTGTAGTATACTGTATAATATACATTTTGAATGCTTAAGTTGTATCATTACACTCTCACTAGAAGAAGGGATGTGCTCTACCTTTTTTCTTGTTTATGTAATTTAAAAACACCTCTTTCTTTTAATTTTCAAAGTTTTTTTTTTATATTTTTTATTTTTATTTACGATTGACCTAGTACATTGAATAGGAAGAAAGATTTATTGGGAAGCTCACAACAATTATATATTTTATAATATTTTTCTCACAATTCCTCATATGTAATAAATTATTTTATATTTAAATTTCTTAAAATTATTTTTATTTAATATTTATTTGCAAAAAATATTGGTGAAAATACTAGAAGGAGATATAACACTGCTTTATTTTAAAATTGTACAAAATTGATTTTGAATAGTTTGATATAATTACCTAAAAAAAATAGTTAGTTGTAGATAGTATGTATATCAACATTATTTTCAACTACAATTTAATATAGAAATGTTTGCATAAAGTTGAGAATTATTTTTTAATGTAGAAGAAACTCGCCATTTTTCTTTTATTGCAAAGACATATTAAAATTAAATAAATTAAAGAAAATAAAATATTTAAATAAAAATACGTATTTCTTAGTAATAAGAAGCTTTAAATGTAAATAAAAATAATTAATGAAGATTATATTAATCTTAAAACCCATTTTATTTAAAAACCCAAATATGTATTACCGAATATAATGTACTAATATTAAGATTTAACATTTGATAAAAATTGAACTTACACAATAATATTTTAATAAATAAAATATGACTCTTTTAAAGAATATTCGTCCTTAAAATTAAGGAATTCAATTATTAAATTAAAGTGAATAAACCTTCGAAATGAATGACGTAATGTGAAACGCGTGACTTACAATGAATGAATGAACCAACACCGACACACACTATTAAATATAGAAAAAAAGAGGAATGATAGAAATAATTTCTTTAATATTTTAAAATAATTTTTATCAGTTAAAATCCATAAAAATCTTGAATTTTGATATAATACAATTTCTCATGAGTTCCAATAAATTTAAACTGGAACAATATTAAAAATTATTATTATCATTTTGATAATTGTTTTAATTTTTACAACCTTATTTTTACTTCTAATTTGGTTTAAGGATATGAAAGTAGAAAGCAATATTTATCTTTAAACGAAATTAATAAAAAAATTTGTTAAAAAATGTTGTTTATCATTTTTCCTTTTTTTGAGAAAATTTAAATTGGACGCAGAAAAATAAAAAGAAATATAAGTAATTTGGTGTTCCAAAACACGTGGATATGAAACTAGCGGTGGTAGGTTCTAGAAGTCCCGGAGACTTACGGAAAGGTAAAATGTGGTGGCTGTAGACAATTTGTATCTCCATTAACAATAACACCTCTCTATTTATTAGGACTTCCCCTCCAAAGTTATTTCTTTCTTGTCGAAGAGGAACCGTGTTCTCCAATCTTGTAATTTTATCCGTTGCTTCGTTTTCTTTCTTCTTGTAAGTTCTCTCATTCTCCATAGGGTTTTTCATAATTCGTTTTTGTTTGTTGCACCACGTGGATTATGGATTCATTCTGATCTTTGGGGACATTTTTTACCTCAAGGTAGAATTTGGGGTGCCCATTTTGTGTTGGATCTGTAAATGTCTGAATTTTGGATTCGGGTTCTCAACTGGGTCGTACCCCATTTTGGTGGAACCCCGACTTTTTTGGAGTTAAATTGTGAGAAAGTTAGAAGTGCACTTTTTTCTTTTTTTCTTAAAAGGGTCGTTGCGTTTTGTGGTACATATTGATGTAGATGTTGAATTGTTGTGTTATTGTTATTTTATGAAATCTATTATTTTTCGCTTGCTTCTTGTTTGGATATGATTGTGTGATTGACTTTGATTTTGTTCTGAAGTGTGTTTTTAATATGCTGGCGATACTATCGAGGGTGTGTGTTGTGTGTGATAAAATGGGGTTGTTGCAGTGAATGGAATTGACGTGTCTTGATGTTCTTGTTACCCAGTTAGACAATATTCTCGTTGATTTTGTTGTTTTTGTCGCGTGTTTAGTCTATAAGTGTGTTTCTCGTTTGTGTGTGTATTGCGGTTTGATTGTTTTCGATCTTCACTGTGTTAGGTTATTTTGATCGATTCTATTGGAGTATTACAGCACTTCTTTGTAGGTGTACATACAAGGCTAACTAATTTTCAATTCGCCTTTAGCAGATGGCTGAGGTATGTGAGATGTCTCTTTTGTTCATAATTTTCTGTTTCTGCATATCATCTTTGTAGTTTGCATATGTTTGACATTTATAACTAAAATTGATATTTGATTGCAGGAGGGTCACAGGGTTACTCTAAATGTTTATGACTTGAGCCAAGGACTCGCACGGCAGCTTTCAATGTCCTTTTTGGGGAAAGCTATTGAAGGCATATGGTGAGTTGCTTCTCTTTATTGTTGGTCTAGGGCAAAAGTTCCTTGGTCTGATGCCAACTATAGCTGTATCCTAAACGAAAATAAAATTTTTGGCGGGACTGTTATACATGTGTGTTGGAATATGATGCTGTGATATGTGGATATGTGGTGTCTATGCAATCATTGGACTATAATAGAAGAACTTTATAACACCTGAAACTTGTGTTAACCAATGGTTTCCTCTTTGCATTTTTGGATTTGCATGCTAATATCTTACATGTTAGTAGAGTGCCATTCCGTTGGAGTGTGGAATGATTGTAATTTTGTGTACTCTATATGTACCTCAGGCACACAGGAATTGTGGTTTATGGTAACGAGTATTACTTTGGTGGGGGCATCCAACACTCTCCTGCTGGATCAACACCATATGGAACTCCCCTTAGAGTGGTAGAGTTAGGTACTACACATGTTCCGCAAGATATCTTCGAAATGTATTTGCAGGAAATCAGTCCTCGGTACATGCCTGAAACATATAGTTTACTCACACACAATTGCAACAACTTCAGCAATGAGATTTCTCAATTTTTGGTCGGAGTGTCAATTCCTGAATATATTCTTCAGCTCCCTAATGAGGTCATGAGCAGTCCAATGGGAGCTCTTATAAGTGAGTTATCTCCTCTACCACTTCAAATAAAAATTTGTGTATAGTTTGTAAACTTGTAGATGTGGATGATACGGTGATCTGGTAGAGTGCAAGTATGATATAAACTTAGTGAATGCTTGTACTATAACTATTTAATGGAGAAAGATAAAATACACAATAAAAATTGTCGTCTAAACTTGGGACTACATGAATTTTAATGACTTTTCAATTTTAATTTACTTGCATCTCCATTACCACATACCTGTATCTACATTTTTCCGCGTTGTCTTTTTTCATTTTCATTCTACATTTATTGTAATAAATTCTTCAATAACTTAAACTGTAGAGTTTTAAGCACACTGTTCATAAGAGATTTTTTTTTTTTTCTTTATTAATGTTGATATGCTTATTATTTGTCTTACATGATATATATCTTGCCACTTTCATTTTGCAGTGCCTATGATACAGAATTTGGAGACAACACTGAAATCTGGTGGAGTTCCTCAAGTACCACAATTCAGGCCTTCAACTGCTGTGAATGCTTCAGCCAACACCCAAAAGAACACAAGCAACACCAACTCATCCACTGAGAATGGTTTGAACAGAGAGGTGAACGAGGAAGTGAAGGGCAAAAATGATAACTCTAACGCAGCACCTTCTTCGGTAAAGCCAGCAGGGGAACCACAAAAGTCATCACCAAATGGGGTCACGGCAGATCCTCTTGGAGATGCTCGCAACAAGGTTCAAGATGAGATTGTGAAAGAGTTTGCTGCAATTATGGCAACTGGGACAATGCGTGCTAGTGAGGCTGCAGCTCTAGCCACTAAAAGAGTCATGCAAAGATATGGCCATACTGCTGTGTCACAGAATTAGCCTCTGCTCGTTCATCATTTTGACAAATTGTTGGTCTAGAACCCCCATATACCATCACTGCGACAATAGCAGTGTTTCATGTCATTGATTATTATTTGAACTGGGAAAAACTTGATCAACTTACAACATCTATTCTACGATGAGATTCTGTCATTGGTTTCAATGTGCATTTAGAGATTACTTTAAAGTGGTCTCCAGTGAAATGCTGATTTAGGCCAATAATTTCAACATATGTTTTCTGGTATACGACTCTTGGATTTTAAGTAACGTTGGCAATCTTTTTAGGAGGGTTTCTTCATGTGGCAGAATAAAGGAATGTAAAATACGTAACTAAAAGAGATTGACAAAACTTGTAAGCAATTTGAAGAAAACAACGTTTTCGTCTGTGAATTTTATTTCTAGAAGGTCTTGGTGGGATTAGATTGACCAGTATCTTCTAGATTTGTATTGGATAGAAAGCTATTTTAACCTCTTCTTAGACGTAAACGTTTGACAGAATGCATATCGGTCTCAACACGTTCTTGTGGTCCTTATTTAGTCAATAGAAAATATAATCTCACTATTATATAACATCAAACAAATTATTTCATGGGCTAAATGCCAATCTAATTACTGATGACAATCATCCAACTAGTTAAGAGGTGATGCCTTTTTTTTGAATGAATATTCCCTTTTAAATTTAAAATAAGTTTTCTTCTTTTCACATTTTTGAATTGAAATAATCACTTTTAGAGATTAATTTACAAAATGATTTTCAAAAATAAATTAGAATAACTAAATAATTTTATTTTTAAAATTTTATTTTAAATTAAATAATATGAAATAGATAATCATTAAAAGAATAGAATTTGAAAAATAAATTTTATAATTTTATAATAATAAAAATAAAAATACGTAATTTAATGTAATTATTTGTTTATTTATTATTTTTACCTTCTTGAGCTTTAACCTCTACTTTTCAAAAGCGACTTTTTCTTTTAATTAAAAGGTCAAAAGCAAAAATACTATTTTCTCTTGGATCTTCCATGTCGACATAACCTACCAACATAAGCCATAACACAAGATAGATTTAGAAAAAGAATTCGAAAAAAGAGAAAAAAAAAACTTTATTTCCATTCAAAAAAGAATGAAAAAAAAAAACACGACTCTTGTCATGAACCTATTTGAATTACTTAATCGATTTTCATATAATTGAAGAAATGTAGTTTTAAATTCTCAAAATCAATAATAAAAAAAGAAGAAAATAAATATTTTTAAAAATTAAACAGAATGTAATATATGTATTTATGAGAATTTAGAAGAATATTCAGCCTTTTTTTAACTAATTTACTTGAGGATCAAACCTAACTCAATTATAATTGGATTGTTAAATAATATAAATGTTAACCAAGTTTAATTAAATTATGATGGAATTGTAAAATAAAAAATATTAACCCAACATTATATAGAGTCATTGTAGGCTAAGAATTTGAAGACTGAATATAAGGATGCAGATTACCCTTCACATAAAGAATATAACACATATAAGGAAAAATATAATAAAATTAAATGAAGAGAAATATAATAAAAATGCTATAGGAGATACAACAATAATATTAACTAGTAAAAATATTATGATAATATGTATTTAAACTTTTATTGACCGAAAAATAATTATTTAGTGAAAAAATTATTTTTTAAAATCTATTGGTACACTTATTATCTTAAAAATAATGGATAAAATTTATATAATATTGAATAATATTATTGAAAAGGTTGATGGTGATTATGAATAAAGTGCTGAATTATAAAATTGTTTGTGAGTTGTTAATAAAGATAAGAAAGAGGTTCTATATGATCTCATTGTAGTACATTGCATTGATATGATAGTACAAGATTTTAAAAGAATATTGATTTTGTATAAAGAATGGTTCATACCAGAAGCTAGTTATATATTCCATTCATGAGGCTATAGATTAGGTTAAATAAAATATAAAAAAAAGTTTAATTATGATATGAAAATGTATTTTACTAATCTCCAAATTCAAATTTCAGTTTTAGATTTTACTTTTTTTTACAATAAATTGAAATTCAACATTAATTAAAATTATTATTATTTTATCTTTGATGTAATATTATTAATGAAAGATGGGGTAGTTTTTCATGTTGCATACTATTAATCTTGAATTATATTATTTTCTTATATTAAAGTTGATATAAAAGTTAACATTGACCTACTAAAATGCATCAAAAGATGGTGAGAATCTAAGGAGCAAAATTTTATTGTTTTTCAACTTGAAGATCTCAAGAATCAATCAAGTAAAAGTTGTTTAATAATTCCTTAGTTATTAAGAGGTGCTAACTATGAAATCTTGATATATTTCCTCACGAATCTTTCTCATGTTAGGGGTTATATGATTTATTTTAATCTTAATTCAAAATATTCCTCAATATTTTTTAGATAAGAGGGTCTAATGATTAAACTAGGGTTTAAGAATCACAATTGATTCTTGTTTGAATTCAACAAACACCATAACAGTAACTCTTTTCCACAAAATCTTTGTGGGTTGAAACAATAAATCATGAACACTTGATCTAAGTTATAATATCACAAATCATTATTTTAGAAGTAGTGCTTAACAAACAAATTGCATAACTGATGTATTTACCTATACTAGTACAAATATTTTCTTTAATGAAAATAACCAAAAATCCTAATAAATATGAAAAAAGTAAAAATAATAAAAAGTTTTATACATATCGAAAAATATTTTTATGTGTCTCGAAACTATATAATAGATACTAATTTCGCTATGAACATGAGTTTGATAAGTTTTGTTGTATATTTGACCTTCAATAACCTATAAAATCTAGTTTTTTTTAACCTAGTGGCATAATAAAAACAAATTTCTTTTGCAAAATCTTATAAAACAATAAATCAAAATTAAAAAGATATAAATTAGAAGAAAGAATTACGAAGAACAAGACTTGAAATGAGATACTTAGTAAATAAAGCAAGGTTAAAGAAGAAAATATTGAGAATGGGTTAAAGGATATTTCAGAGCAGTAATGAAGGAGAAAAAGTAAAAGGAGATGAGAAAAAAAGAAAAAAACTTAAAAAAGAGAGAATAATAAAATAAGAAAATTATGTAAATTTTAAAAATAATATATATATATATATATATATATATATATATATATATATATATATATATATATATATATGTTAAGAGTTTAAAAAGCATTCATAAAAATCTTATAAAAAAAACCATCAAGACTTATTCTATATTAAATTAATTTTATCATGTTACACATTTTTAATCAAGTTTTGTTTCATAATATATCATACAAAAAATTATATTTTTATAGTTTTTTATTTTAAACTTTAATTTTTATCTTAAAAATTAAATTAAATTATTAAAATACATTTTTTTTATTTTTTAAGATTTAGCATTTATTTTTTTAAATTGATTCAGCACTAAACCGATATAGGTTTATGATTAAAAATTAAATTATAATTCAATTAAGTGTAATTTTATTTAGTAAAATAATAATTTTAAATATAATAAATTTATTAATAATAATATTTTTTAAATAATAAAATTTAATATCATGAACATAAACAAATATAATAGAAATGAAAAATGGATAAAGGTGAAAATAAAAATAAAATAATTATTATTTAAAATGATATAACTTATTAAAAAATATAACTATATATATATTTAAATTTTCTTATTTTTTTAAATTTAAGTCAAATTTAATATTTTTTAAAAATTTATATTAGTTTTTTCTATTTTATATTATTTTTAAAAAAACAACGAGCCATTGAATTGGTTTAACTAATCAGTTTATTGAAATTTTCAAATCTTAATTTTAAGATCTCCATTAATATGTCCAAGTGATATATATATATATATATATATATATATATATATATATATATATTTATTTATTTTTATTTTTAAAGATATTGGTCTTAAATTTAATATATTTATCAATAAGAAAAAAGGTCGATAAATGTGTCGTTAAGAAAAGAGGTGGTGCAAAAAGAAACAGCCGAAAAACGGATGATGGAAAATCGGGCATAATAGTCGGATACCACCCACCTATTCTATTACCTGCTTGCGTGTTCGGTTGCTTCGAGATTCACTTTCAACGCGGTTTGACAATAATCCCAAATCTGAAAATAAGATAAAGTAAATTAAAGTAAAATTCAATATCGCCCGCTAGCTTCACACAGGAAATGGAAAATCCATTTCTACGCTTCTTGGGGCGTTTGTTCTTTCAATTAATCGTTATGGATTCTCTTACAGGCATTCCAATGTGCTGATCGCTTCTGTCAATTCTTGATCTCCCCCTTGCAAATATTGCTTCAATTTTGTTCTTATTTGTTTTAATCTGAGTGTTTAATCAAATTTCTGGCTTGTGTTGCTTTTAGGTGATATTTTGCTTGAATTACAACCCATTCAATAGGGTTTTGCTTTCTGGATAGTCTTGATTTGGAGTTTGGGATTGGGTGGGTGATTACGTAATCATGGGTTCAAAAGATGTGAATATTAAAGCGTGGGAATGGACTTTGGGTTTGGTATTCATATTTGCTGTGGCAACAATTTGGATAGCTGCTAGCTTTGTTGTGCAGTCTGTTGTTGATGCTGGTGTGTCACCATTCCTTATTACTTATGTATGCAATTCGTTGTTTGTGGTATTGATTCCAATTGTTGAAATTGGGAGGTATTTGGAGGATTCTTATGGGGGTTTATGGTTTTGGAGTAGCGAGAAGAGTAATTCCCATATGGAAGGAATGGTAAGACATTCAGAGCAGGCTGTCCTTCTCAATGATAATGATGCAGGCAGTGAAGCCAGCGAATCCTTGGTTGTTAAAGAGGTTGATGTTGTTACTGAAGAAAGGAACAATGGTTCTGAATTGATGCCAGCAGATACAGTGATAAGAGTATTGGTTGATCAAGTTAAAGTGATTGAAAAGGTTGATCATCAGCTTGATGAGAAAGGGCGGTGGCCTCGGTATAGAGTGGCTAAAGTTAGTCTTTTGATCTGCCCGTTTTGGTTTTTGGCTCAACTCAGCTTTAACTTGTCATTAAAGTATACTACAGTCACAGTAAGTAAATACGTATATGACCTTGGATTTTTAAGTTCTGTTTCACATACTTATCTGGCTTAAATTAGTTCCTTCTTTTTATATGATATGCAGTCAAACACAATCTTAAGCAGTGCATCCAGTCTTTTTACCTTCTTGGTCTCCCTAGCATTCTTGGGTGAGAAATTTACTTGGTTAAAGCTCTCCAGTGTTCTTCTTTGTATGGGAGGAACAATAATTGTAAGTCTAGGTGATTCGCAATCCGGTTTAAGAACAGTTGCATCGAGTCCTCTTCTTGGAGACATTTTCGCACTTCTTTCTGCAGGATTATATGCAGTTTATATAACTCTTATTCGCATGAAATTACCTGATAATGATGGAAAGAGTGGTGAAGCCAGTACAGCTCAGTTTCTTGGATTCCTTGGGCTTTTCAATGCACTTATTTTTCTTCCGGTTGCCTTCATAATGAATTTTACCATGATGGAAACTTTTAGTACAGTTACTTGGAAACAGTATGGTATGATAATTGGTAAAGGTCAGTATTCACTATTTTTTATTTTTTTGTTCTAGTTCTTTAATTGTTCTTCGTTTCTGCTGCTAAACTGAAATTTTTATCTTCTATGTCGGAAGAAAATACCTGTTTTGCATGTTTACTCTATGCATACCCTTTTCATGTTTTTACGATAGCCAACTTGTACTGAGATCCAATCATTCGGACATAGGTTGTTTATATATGTGCACAATTGTGTGTGCTGTCCAATTAATGTCTATGCGGGGAAGCACTTTCTGCTGATGATCACTTATATCATAAGTGGAGGATGATTTTAGGTATTGTAATCAATCTAGTATATGTTAGAATTCCAAATTAATTAAGAATGAATAATACATGTCCTGCATTGTAACGGTTTTTACACTGATCATCAATCACAAATTACTATGTATGGTAAATTTGTTGTATTTTAGAATATCTACCTTAAAAGTCATACGAAAGATATGTTTTGATTGAATAACAATGTAAAAACTTACACTGATGATGTATGCTCATTACAATTTCAACAACATAACCTTATACCACTAGGTGAGGTTGGATGACATGACATCATTCAACACAGTTAAAAGCCAAAGTTTCAAGAAAATGATTTAGTCTAAGGTCTCCTTTGACAACTTTCGCCAATGTTTTTTATGATCTTCCTCTCCTTTTCACTAGAGTGAAAATCATTCATTTACTCTTCTCATTGATGCCTTTTGTGGCCTTCTTTGTTTATGTCCGAACCATCTTAATCATTTTTCTGTCATATTTTCCTGAATTGATGCTGTATCAACCATTTTCATATATAATAATTCCATATTTTGTCTTTTCTTGTATGGCCTCACATCTATTTTAACATTCTTTTTTCTGTTACGCTCACTTTTTTCTCCCATGTTGAAACTTTAAAGCTCAACATTCACTACCATATAGTATAGTTGGATGTTTAGTCGGATGTGTAACCATGCGATAAAACTTAGCTTTGAGTTTGGTTGTTACTTTGTGATCACAATTATGCCTCCATGCCTTTCTTCATTTTTCCGTCTTGCTTCTATCTTGTATCCTATGAAACTCATTATTTTGTGTTGCAGATTTGCACATTATCAAATATTGTTTTCATAACTTTTGGGTAAAAATGTTTTTACCTAATATTTTTTCTCCCATTTTGGTTATAAAGTTTCTCTTTATCTATACAAGATTCATATTCTGGGCAATTTATTGTTAAGGCTCTTTGTTCACTTCAGTGTCACTATGAACCGTGATGGACCTTTTGAGAGGGGATTTAGCGGTACAGACAACATTAATGAGAAATGAGTTCAACTCATATAAGAGATAGATACTACCTTCAACCCACATAAGAGATAGATACTACCTTTGTTGAATTATTGACAAACGTACCAAATTATCAATCGCAGTATAGTATTTCGATTAAATAAAAGTCGATCCCACGAGGAACGGTTTCAATGGAAATTTCTAATTTTATGCTTACTAAGTAGATTAAAACAGAATGAGTTTTGCATAAAGAGTTGAATTGAAATTAAATGACAAAGAACTGTAAATTGTTGAGAAAATATCAATTAAAGGTACTTAGGATTGACTTCCTTCCTTATCCTTCTTTTGTAATGGCTATGTCAATTAAGAACGTCAATTAACCTAACAATGTTGATGCCACCTACTCAAATCATCCATGTTGATTCCTCACATATGAAATTCATAAGAAAACCTAATAAATATTGATTCCTCACACAATTAACAAATTTTCCAGCATTAGGGTTAGGGTGTTTAAGCAATTGATACATTCATTCATGGCAATTAACGTAACAAATATTCTTTCCGTGATCTAGGGTTCAAGATATATTTTCCAATCATACCTTAAACAATCAAGAATAAATCATTCTAAAACATAAATGACAAGAATAACAACATCAAAGCATAAATTAATATCTCAAAATATCACCATGATACAAAAGAGTTCAAAGGAAGTGCACCGAATCTTAAGAGAATGAAGTTAGCCACTCATGTTGGCCATTACAATGCTCCAATTGATGAAGAAGTGAAAAATTGATGAAGATTAGACAAAACCCTAACAGTAGTCGTGTCTCCTCTTCTCCAAGATTGCTTCCTTTTCTCAAAACACAACTTATTTTTTTATAAGAGAATTTGGGTCGGGCCTTGCATCATTCATTCGCTTAAGCGCTCTTCTTTCTTTCAATTTTACTCTAATTATGCTGACAATTATGCTCCTTACTCTTGTATCAAGGTATTCTCAAATTCATCCTATATAGGGAGAAAAATATATTAGAATTAACATAAGTTAAGTGGTTTTATAACAATTCAAGACATAATTATATCAATTTTTTATCACTTAACAACTCTCCCTAACCTAGAATCTTGCTTGTCCCTAGCAAAGTAGTTTTTCCGAAACAAAATCATCACCTATTATCTCTTTCTCTTCTAGAACCACAACATAAAAATTTTCAGGAGTGATGCTCGCAACTCCAAATGAAAATAGAACACAGAAGCATTCAAGTTATAAAAACCAACAAAGAATAATTAGTCCTCAACTATCCTCATAGAAGCATGATCTCTCAAATAGAGTTATATATACTCATCTCTAATTCTCACATGTAAGTGTTTATCTCATTCAATTACTTCATTTAGACAATCCAATATTGATAATCATCTTCAAGCAATCAACAATTATTAAACAAGACTTAAATCAAAAGGTCTTTTGAGGCTTGTAATGGGGCTGGACTAAGAAAGAATTATTGGTTTTTTTGGGATATACAAAAATATTTGAGAAATTCAACTCATATGAATGATTCTTGATTAACAATTCCTCAAGTCAGGTTTCAAACTTCATGCTTTTGTCCCTAACACAATGACAATGAGTTAATAATCTCACAAGTTATTACTCCCCTTTTGACTTTTTTATTTTATTTTTTATTTTTATTTTTATTTTTTTGCTTTTGCATGTATCCTTTTTTTGGCTTTGCAAATTTTTAAGCTTTGCTTTTCCTTTTTCTTTACACTTTTTTTTTTAACAATAACACCCCAACAATACCTGTAGGACAACAATAACAATACCCAACAATAAGAAAAATAGTGACATTCATACTCATTTCCTTTCTCAAATATAGGAAGGTAGATAAATAGTGTTTAGACTTAAGGGTTCTGTTTAAGAAACAATATTATTTTTGGCTCATAAGGGGTTCAAATGGATGTCCTATAATTAATGTAGGGTTGACTATTTGGCTCTGGGTTATATCTACTACAAAAAAAAATGCCTTTATCATTTTCAAGTCTTGCCAACATGTAATCACATCAAAGAATCAACCAATATCAGTTATCATCACAAAGTGTTGACACTCAATTTATCTGTTTTTGGTACTCTGCTCACCTGGGTTTTGGCTAGCTTCTCCAATTCAGTTAATTCCTAATTTTCCTCGTCAATTCCTTTTCATTATCATACTCAATATCCCAAAATCACTTGTTATTAGAAACAATCAAAATTATTTTTCACGTTCTAGATTTGAATTAGACAATAAGCAATAATCTCATATATGGCTCTAAAACAAATTATGGGACAACAAAGGGAATTTAAAATTTAAAATAAAGCAATTAAAAACATTAAATTAAAAACAAAGGAATTAAAAACACTAAAAGCAAAATAAGTTTCCTCCCTCATTTTCTTCACTTGTCATGTACTCCTTATCTTGTGCCTCAGCCTCAGCTGCAGACTTTCTCACCCCCTCCAGAAAAGTTGGACTGTCTCCAGGCCATTGAAGTAAGGCTTCAAAGTCTTGAGGAGAAGTGCACTGTGTACCTGGAGCAATCTTGCAAAGAAAGAACCTAATGAAGAAAAATGCACAAAAAAAACTTAAACTGCAAAAAGAAAAAAAAAAAAATTCAAAATGTTGGGTTGCCTCCCAGGAGCGCTTGTTTAACGTCTTCAGCTTGATGCCTATTTGCTTTAGGGCTCATGCAGGTGAGTGATCAAGGTGATATATACGCATTCTCCATCCCTTAACTGTCCTTGTGGGAACGAATTTATTCTTTTCATTGCGAATAACCTTACAACTGTCAGAGATTGGATAAATCATACCTGCTTCAGGAGGTTTCAGTACCTTTCTTTGAACAACTTCTTTCATAGTCAGACTAAGATGTCTTTGGGTTTGTATAACAGGCTTGTAATCTTGTTTTTCAGTTGAGATGGTTAATTCCTCCAAAGTGTCTATTTTGAGACAATCTTTCTTGTCTTTCGGTTGTTGTACATCTTCAAACAGATTAAAATTAACTTCATCATCTCCACTTCTAATTTTCAACTTGCCCATGTCAACATCTATAATTACTTTGACAGTCTTCATAAATGGTCTTCCCAGGATCAATGGGACTTCCTCATTTTCCTCCATGTCCATAATCACAAAATCAACAGGAAATATGAATTTGTCCATTCTAACTAAAACATCTTCTGGTACTCCATAAGAAATCTTTAGAGATCTGTCAGCTAGCTGCAATGTCATTATTGTAGGCTTTACTTCCAAGTCTCCTATTCTTTTGAGCATAGATAATGGCATGAGGTTTATACTGGTCCCTAAATCAAGTAATGATTTTTTCACCGGTAATTCACCAATTGTGACTGGTATAGTGAAACTTCCAGGGTCCTTGGACTTTTGAGACAATGATTTTTGGAATATAACACTGCATCCTGCCTCTAACTCTACTGTTTCATCAGTAAATCTTCTTTTCTTAGTTAAAAGCTCTTTCATGAATTTGACATATGTTGGCATTTGTTCCATAGCTTCCACAAATGATATATTAATTTGCAATTGCTTGAAAATATCCATGAATCTTGCAAACTGTCTTTCTTTATCTATCTGTGAAGAAGCCTTGGGATACGGTAACTTCTCTACAAATAGTTTTTGACTCCCTCCTTTTTCTATCTTCTCTTCGTTCTTCTTATTAGGAATATGTCTTTCTTCATTATTCTTCTCTTCTTTCTCTTCATCTTCTTTTACCAAAACTTCTTCAACAACTATATTGTCACCGATCCCCTTACCTACAACTTTTTCACTCCTTGTAGTTATTGAATTGCACTGCTCCTTTGAATTGGTTTGTGTGTTAGTTGAAAACTGTCCTTCTTGTTGCTGCTCAGATAATTGCTTAGCCAGTTGGCCTATCTGGGTCTCTATATTTCTGAATGAAGCTTCAGTATTTTTTTGATTGGCCATAGTGCTTTGCATGAATTTTTCTACAATATCCTCCAATTTACTTATTCTGTCAGACACTGAAGGATAATGTTGTTGCTGTTGCTGATATGGGGGTTGCTGATATGACTATTGTTGAAATGTAGGTTGTCCTTGTTTCCACCCAAAATTCTGATTCTGATTCCCTCTCCATCCTTGTGCAAAATTATTCTGATAATTATTGGGATTAGGAAAATTGCCTTGTCTGTCTTGACTACTACCTTGGACCCCCATATAATTAGCTTCTTCTTGTTGAATGCTTCCTTGATAAGAGTCTTGTTCATTTGCAAGATCACCTCCACATACATCACAACTCATCTGTTGATTAAGAATAGATTGTACTGTGTGCATTTGTTGAGGTAATTTCTCTATCTTCTGGTTCAATGCTTCAATTTGTTGCGTTATAAGTTTATTCTGGGCTAAGATAGCATCTGAGCTGTTAAGTTTAAGTACTCCCTTCCTTTGAATTGGATGTCTATCATGTTGGGCCTGTTGGTCTGTAAAGGTTAGTGCATCAATAATTCTGGTGGCATGATCAATTTCTACATCCAACATGGATCCTCCTGCTGCAGCCTCTAATAACATCTTTGTATCATGTCGCAAGCCAGTATAGAAAATATTCAATTGAGAAACGTCATCAAATCCATGATTTGGGCATCTTCTCAACAGTGATTTAAATTTCTCCCATGCTTCACAAAATTGTTCATCTGCTCCTTGTCTGAAAGAAGTGATGTCAGATTTTGCTTTGATGTAACGGGATGGTGGGAAAAATCTATTCAGAAACTTCTCTTCTACACTACTCCAATTAGTCGGACTCGATTAGGATGTGCTTTCGACCATTCCTTTGCCCTACTTGCCAAAGAAAAAGGAAATAATATCAAATATGCGGATTCAAGATTTGTCTGCTCTAAATCCCATGGTACCAATCAACTCATAAAAAGTAGACAAATGAATATAAGGGTCTTCATGATCCAATCCAGTGAATTGATGAGCACTAATCAAGCTTAAGAAAGATGGATTCATCTGCAATGTATGATCATCCGGAATGATAATGCTGGAAAAATGTCTTGGACCTTGCTGCATAGCACAATTTCTAAGAGTTCTTCTAGGTGGATTTGCATTTGGATTTTGATTTGGATTTTGATTTTGATTTGGATTTGGATTTGGATTTGCTCCTTCTTCCGCCATATCTTCTATAATTGGGTCTAGTAAATCAAGTGTGAAAGAAGAATTAACAGATTCTCTTGTGGCTTGTTCTTGAGTTTTCCTTCTTCTTCTACCCCGGTTCCTCCGAACTGCTTTTTCAATTTCTGGATTAAATTCTAACTGCTTTGAAGATACCTGTCCTCTTAAACGCATAAATCAAAAGAGTAACTCAAGCAAATATTAGCACAAACTAAAAACTAAATAATAATAATAATAAAAAAAAGAACAGAAATAAAAATAAAATACTCAATAAGCTAAACAAAGAATTCTCAAAGAACACCGTTCCCCGGCAACGGCGCCAGAAATACTTGTTGAATTATTGGCAAGCGTACCAAATTATCAATCGCAGTATAGTATTTCGATTAAATAAAAGTCGATCCCACGAGGAACGGTTTCAATGGAAATTCCCAATTTTATGCTTACTAAGTAGATTAAAACAGAATGAGTTTTGCATGAAGAGTTGAATTGAAATTAAATGACAAAGAACTGTAAATTGTTGAGAAAATATCAATTAAAGGTACTTAGGATTGACTTTCTTCCTTATCCTCTTTTGTAATGACTATGTCAATTAAGAACGTCAATTAACCTAACAATGTTGATGCCACCTACTCAAATCATCCATGTTGATTCCTCACACATGAAATTCATAAGAAAACCTAATAAATGTTGATTCCTCACACAATTAACAGATTTTCCAGCATTAGGGTTAGGGTGTTTAAGCAATTGATACATTCATTCCATTTCTGGCAATTAACGTAACAAATATTCTTATCGTGATCTAGGGTTCAAGATATATTTTTCAATCATACCTCAAACAATCAAGAATAAATCATTCCAAAGCATAAAAGACAAGAATAACAACATCAAAACATAGATTAATATCTCAAAATATCACCATGATACAAAAAAGTTCAAAGGAAGTACACCGAATCCTAAGAGAATAAAGTTAGCCACTTATGTTGGCCATTACAATGCTCCAATTGATGAAGAAGTGAAGAATTGATGAAGATTAGACAAAACCCTAACAGTAGTCGTGTCTCCTCTCCTCCAAGATTGCTTCCTTTTCTCAAAACACAACTTATCTTTTTATAAGAGAATTTGGGTCGGGCCTTGCATCATTCATTTGCTTAAGCGCTCTTCTTTCTTTCAATTTTACTCCAATTATGCTGACAATTATGCTCCTTACTCTTGTATCAAGATATTCTCAAATTCATCCTATATTGGGAGAAAAATATATTAGAATTAACATAAATTAAGTGGTTTTATAACAATTTAAGGCATAATTATATCAATTTTTTACCACTTAACAACCTTCAACCCAAAAACTTAATTAAGACAATCAATTTATGGGTCTTTTTCCAATATGTCGTTCAACTTTCTCATTTTTACTTAATGTAGGACTTAGATTCACATTTGAATTTTCCAATAATCTCTATCTCAAGTGTGAGTTCCATCACATTGGTACATCTCTCTTAAGCTCACTAGTTTCCATTTTTTGTATTGTCATTCATCATAACGGGACACGTTTGTCTAATCCCATCATCAGGAAGATTTCCGATACAAAGACCACTCTTACACCACCAGTTACTAAGACAAACCTTCGGTTCTGATACAATTGATGGATATTTTGAGGGAAATTCACGAAAGAAAGATAATACTAATGAAATATGAGCTCAATCCACATAAGGAATTGACACCACCTTCAATCTAAGACCTTAAGATAATTGGTTTATGGGTCTTTTTCCTTATATATTACTCAACTTCTTCATTTATACTCAAGGTGAGATTGAGACTCGACTTCTTAACAAATAGTTATGTACTATTAGTAATTTTTTTTTTTTTTTTGTATAGACCACATGCTTTCTTCATAATTCTAATTGAGCTGTGTAGCCAACTTGTAACTACAGAAGATTAGATTCTAACTAAAATACTTTATTAGCTTCAATAATGTGTTAGTTCATTTAATGACAATATAGAACTTGAAAATTGAGGCTAGAGGTGTCACTTTGATAATCACTGGCTAAATATACAAAACTAAAATTTGGTGAATAGTATTAATGAATTTCCATTTTTTTGTGACTCAGAAGAATCTTGTAACCTTTTACATGCATTAAAGCAAATGATGTGCAAACTGTCCTCACTCCGGAGCATGAAGACATTTTGTTTATATAAGTTCAGGTTTATTTTGCCATAATGGAGAGAAACATAATCTTGTTACTGCCAGAACTGAACATCTGTCAATATTTCCTTTTGTCAATGACAAAAAAGCCAAACCAGAGTGGATCAGAGGGTCTTTAAAAAATCAGTGAATTGGTCATGTGTCTGGTCCCTTTAATCGTAAAAATAGATCATCAAAGATTTGACAAAGAATGTCAGGAACCAAGAAATGGAAAGAGGAAGAAAAGAAATATTTATTGGAATGGAATGAAAATAACAAGAAATAGGAGAACACTCTCACTTCGAAGATTTTCTTCTTCACAAAGAGTTAATACTCAATCTACAAACCGAACATCCCCCTCTTTACCCTAGTATCCTCCTATTTATAGGTATGATGGGCCTAACACATGATATCCTAACAGAGAACCATTTCAAATAGTGAACATTTCAGTACACTTGGACCAAGGTTTCTACGCAAGAGTTGAATCCCTTGTGGCTCCATTATTCGAAGTGGAGATCAGTTTAGAACTGAATAAGGTTGGGTTGTGAAAGCCCATATGTAATTACAAAAACCATTCATGTATCACTTCGGCCTTTGGAATAATATTCAGTTTTCGTATTCGTGGTGCCAAGTTTTATGGGTCTTTATTATTAACTGAATATTTTATTTCTTTTCTTATTTGACGTTTACTGTTTTCTATCTTTCAGTGGTAAAGTTAGCATAATCTATGAACCAAACTGTTTATTGCAACTTCAAAAAACATATTCAAGAGTAATTTTTGCAAAATATGGAAAACAAATCTACATTTACACGTCAAACTTCAAATAAATGTCCACACTTTACTTCATCTTAGACAGCTAAAATTTTATTGTTTTCAACTATTCCCCTTAACTCACTTCATTTAACTTGTACATGTCATAATGTATGGATTTTTTCTAATCAAAATTAGGATTGCTGGATAATGTGCTGAGTGATTACTTGTGGGCCAAGGCTGTTCTTCTCACTTCTACCACAGTAGCTACAGCTGGTCTTACTATTCAGGTCCCATTGGCTGCCATTGTGGACACCATGACTGGCAATGCTCCTCGCTTTATGGATTACCTTGGAGCAGTAGCTGTCATGATTGGCTTCACTGGAATCAACATTCCTTCTGACACTTGCAGCAAATCCAGAGAAACTGCTGTGCAATTGGAAAATGAGAACTTGGATATAAGGACTGAAGAGCTTACTTTTCCTAGAAGCCAAAATGGAGTTGCCTTATCATAGCATTGTACATTACACCTGTTAGATGAAGGTGGTCTTCTTGTAATCATACCAAATTAGTTGCCGAAACTGGAAATGTGCTACCATACTAGACAGGAGATAGAAAAAACTAGAACAAGGGAAGATGGTTTACTAGATGAACACGAAATTGCACCTGGAGAGACATGAAGCTGCCTTGTGGTTCAGCAAATACTACTTGGATAAGTTTTCATTGATGGTTTGGGTGCCTTGGTGGACCCCTTAAGATAGGGTTCACCCATGTCATCACAATTTTGAGATAATGATTCATATTACTTTTGGGATACTTTGGAAATGTTTAGTTCTATACCTTAAACCTGATTAAAAGGTTTCTCCGATGCTTGTCCAATCGTATAATTTATGTGAAAAGTAACACCATTGTTTGTCTGAAGAAACAAATCAGTTTGATTTGTCTTATTTAACCCTCGGTTAAACAAACGAACAGTATATTTGTTTATTTATTATAATTTTGTTTAATGAATGAATTGAATTGTATTTATATATAATATATTTATGTGTAGTTTGTGATTAGTTCATGGTGCGCAAATGGAACAATAAAAACAAGTTCTTAAGCAGACCTTGTTTTATTTTCTCTATGGTTTTGATCGTCTTTTGTGCTGTTTGTTTACTTTTATCATTGTAAGTCAAAATGTATATTTTTAACTTTATGAATTATTTTGTTCAATTTTAAAATGCACTAAACATAAAATGATACATTTCTTTTATATTTGAATTTAACATGATAAAGAAAATAACAATAAATTTAACTATAATTTTTAAGTTAAGAGTTATATTTAATGTTACTAATATGGATTAATGTAGTGGGTTTTAAAAGTGGAGCGGAAGATGACATGGGTTTTTTATTTTTTTAATATTAGATATATATGCACTAAAAATAAAATATTATAATTGAAATAATTATAAATTTTATATTATTTGAATATATAAATATATTATTATTATTATAATTATTATTAACAAATCAATATAAAATTATTGATTGTAATTAAATAATTTAATTTAATATATAAATATAATAATTTTTTATTTATCTAATAAAAATTTAAGAATGTTTATATAATTAAATATTTTTAAAAATATATATAAATATTAACCTCACTATATTTATATGAGTTTGTTATAAATGTAATATTTCTCTACTCCTTATCTTATTTTTTTTAGAATAAAAGATGACAATAGAGATAATACAATAATTAAATTCTTGGTTAATCATATCAGTCAAATAAATTTTAATAGTCAAAAATAAAAAAAATAGAGAATTAAAAATAAATTAACTAAATTATATAATCTATCAATTTTATTATTTAAAAATAATTCTTTTATATAAATTCAACACCGTCCCGCCCATTTATGAACTAATACTTTATTTAGGAGATGTTTACAATTTATTTATTATTTTTTTAATATTACATCTTAAATCATAGAGTGGTTAGGTGTTAGGGTTCCTATACTCCCTCTCTACAATTCAATGCCCTATCTATTTGTTATACCTAATCAACCTCACATGCCCCCATTGAATCGAGATAGGTATATACATTGCTGCCAAAGGAATAAACCATTCATGCAAGTATTTAGCATCTTCTTCAACAACTAATTTTATCAAATATTTTAACTTAAAACTAACTTTTCATTTTTTAAATTAACTAGCCTCTATCTTAAACATCATTAATTAGCATATTAACTTTAGCTTTACCTTTTCACTATGAAATTTGAAAACAAAATAATAATTTTGTATATTTGTTTGATGAGATTAATTATGTATTTATATAATGCGCTCTTATCTAAAAAAAATATTCCATAAATTTCACTATTAAAAAAAGGTTAAGTATATTTTTAATCCTTTGTACTTTCATGTGAAATTGGAAATAGTTCCTCTGTCAATTTCACATAAAAATAATTTCTATATTTTTGAAATGATTGTAATAGGTTCCTATTTTAAACGACGTTAAATATATGATGATCTGTTTAACGAGAGATAATATGATTCATTCATTATTTGACACGTATAATTTTTTTTAAAGCAAAACTCTTTTTAAAAAAAATAGAAATTATTTAATAGAGATTATTATTTTAAAAAAAATAAAATTAAAAAGTAGAAGTTTTTCTCTCTCCTCATGCACCAAAGCTTCTTCAGTTCTCGTCACAACCACTTTTCATTCTCTCTTCTTTTCTCGTCACAACTATTTTTCGTTCTCACTTCTTTTCTCTTCACACACCAAATATCTTTTCTTTCTTCCCCTTTCCATGTAAAGGTTGTATAAAGTCAAAATGACTTTGAAGTTCGAGAATTTCATCGGTTCATTATGGTTCGTTCGACTGACAGATGCAACCGTGATGCACAACGACGGTGTGCAACATTGGTATGCCATAACTATGTTTTTCTTTTTAAATGGTTTTTAAATGTTATAAATGCGGATTTAAATGACTTTTAAAAACTTGACACCTTTTAATTTTATTTTTTTAAATAATTACACGTGTTAAATAATAAATGAGTCATATCATTTCTATTAAACATGTCATCATATATTTAACCTCGTTTAAAATAGTGACTTATTTTAATCATTTTAAAAGTATAGAGATCATTTTTATGTGAACTATGACAAAAACTATTTTTAATTTCACATGAAAATATAGGGACTAAAAATATAATTAACCTTAAAAAAAATTAAAGCATATATAATACATTTCCTCAAATAAATAATTAAAAGAGGATATTATTTATTTTGTGTAAATCAATGATATATAGATAGAAATATCTACGTATTAATTTAAAGTTTATTATTAAAATAAACTTATCCTCCTAATAAAATATTTATATGTTTGATAGAAAAACTTGTGATATTTTTTTAATATCTAAGTTAAAAATTTTAAATATATCAAATTTATTTGATATTAGTATAACTTTTAAATTAAATATTTTTTAGTCTTTAGAAATAAAAAAAAGTATTGACTGTTACTCTCTAAACAAAAGATGTCCTCTTACGTCAGATTATGATAATGTTTTATAAATTAGAAAAATGTTGTTGAAAGGAAAATTTCACTATGACAAACCTATTAATAGAAATTAGTTATTTGATTATACTCAACCCCAAAAAACATGGAAAAAAAATGGCAGTGTATTAGATTAATAATACTTAATTAGACTTGTTACCTTCACATAAAGGAAAATAAAGACATTAAATTGTGTTCATTAAAAAAGTAATTTAATTTTTCAAGTATCATAAATGAAAAAAAAATAAGAAACACTTATTTACATAAATATTGTATATATTTTTTGTACCTATAAGTTGTCCTCGTGACTAGTTTTGTATTAATTACTTTCCAAAATCAGCATTTTCCTAAGTCTTCTTCAAGTTTGTTTAAATTTGAGAAATTATGAAAAGCAAGTACATTGAAATTTATGAAAAGAGATTGCTTTCGGAGATTAATAAACAGAATCGAGTTTTCTCAAATTGAAAAGACAAAATTCATACTAAGACAATCTCATAAGGGTTCACAATCTGAATAATGAGACCGTTCTGAACATCATCACTAAGGATCATTTCCATGACATTGAGTCATTGAAGCATCTCAACTACTTGGCTCATGGTGGGTCTTGAATCCCTGTCTTCCATTGCACAGTTCAAAGCCACTGAACTCAAAATTTCCATCTTTATTTTATCATAAGCAGGTCCAATATCAGGATCAATTATCTGTTCCAGCCACGATGATTTAGTGTTGCTGCCACTTTTCTCTCTCACCCATTCCACCAGCCTTCCATCATATGTTTCTTCATCATTAATCTTATGGATACTTCTTGTGGTGCTTTTCCCAGTTATCATTTCCAAAACAACAATTCCATAGCTATAAACATCCACCTTGGATGTGATAGGCAAGTTCAAAACCCACTCAGGTGCCATGTAGCCTCTGGTCCCTCTGATCATAGAGATGCTTGGATTGTTGGGGTTATCTCTCTTCATAAGCTTAGACAAGCCAAAGTCTGCTAACTTTGGCTCATAGTTGGAATCTAGAAGTATGTTTTGTGGCTTTATATCACAGTGCAAAATCCACTCCAAGCATTGTTCATGCAGATATGCTAGAACTCTTGCCGTTCCAAGAGCTATGTTATATCTCTTACTCCAATCAAGTGTGTTGGATGATAGATTTTCTGCCAGAGAACCATTCTCCATATACTCACAAACCAGCAACCTATGTTTTCCCTCAGCACAATATCCCCACATTTCAATCAAGTTCATGTGGTTAAGCCTTCCAATAATGCCTACTTCAGCAAGAAATTCACCTTCTCCTTGTTTAGCATTATAAAGTCTCTTTATTGCTGCATGTCTCTGATCTGATAAAATGCCTTTGTACACAACTCCTCCTGCACCTCTTCCAATCTCTTGACTGAACCCCTTTGTAGCCTTTTTCAGCTCAGAGTAGCTAAATTTTCTGAATCCTGATTCTGTATGATGGTAGCCCTCTTGACCAACTTTAGACTTTTGTCTGGTCCTAATTAGGAGGCACCAAATCACCAAAACACAAATCATTTCAAAAGCTCCAAGAGCGGTAGCAAACCACAGGAAAATCTTTACCAAACGGTTTCCATGTGTTTTGATATAAGCTCGTTGAAGTTGAACATAACAAACATGATCATATAAAGGTTCACTGGCATATTCTTCGTGAGAGAAGCTATTACTTTTGGGCAATCTCAAGTATGTTGATCCTTGGAATACAGGTGAACGTCGTCCATTGAGCAATTGCGTTTTTGTGTAGCACCTATAAAAGCGTTTATCATCACTGTAGGAGTGCTGAAACCCCTTACAAGTGCAGTCTTGCAAGCATAACTTCTCACAGGCACTATAGTTACTAACTTCTACATAATGATTGTCATAGCCATAAAATTCAACACTTGGAATCTCCAAGAACATAGACTCATTCTTATGGCAAGTAAGATGAAACAAGGGTTCGCACCCTTGAGACCAATCACTGTGGTTCTTTAATCTATGCCCAGGAAGACACAAACATTTTCTTCCACTGACACGATCATAAACACACAAGCTGTTGGGTCCACAAATCCCATGAGGTATGCAACCACTAGAAATTGCTTGCCATGAAACATACCACTTTCCCAAAACATTATTTCGACTATACACTCGAACGTTGCCATCACAATCCACTTTCAACCTTCTCTGCAGCACGGTGCCATAATCAGATGTTACGAAAGTGAAATTATCTGTTGAATTGAAAAGCCCAAGAGAATTCAACACGCCAATTCTACTACTATTGAAAGAAGTCCTGCCAACATCCCAACTAAGCAACCAAGGTTGTGGCCAGTAGGAGCTTGAAACATCAGGACCATCATAGTGAAGACCAAGAACGTTGTTATCATCGAAGAAAAACTTATAGAAACCTGAGGAATGGTTACTCTCGCTTCTTGAAGACACAAGTATTGTGTATCTGGTAAGAGGTTGGGCAGGAACGAGGGTGTCGGTTGGGAAATCATAACTTTGCCACAGAACAGTTCCTTGAACCTCACGTAACACGAGATTGCCATCATCTTTGAGATGCAACTCTACTGGGGCTGATGAAACAGTGTTTGAAGACCAAGCAGTGTTAAAAGCAGCATCAACCAAGACTAAGTTGGCATCGAGGGTGAGGGAAAGCTTGGATCGTTTTCCATTCACAGGTTGGTCACGGTTTGCCATCCATGTGACAGTGCTGGGGCTGTGAAAATGAGGCTCCGTGAACCATATTGCAAAGGAATAACCAATGGCTAAAAAGCCAGCAGAGAAGATAGCATTTGGTGAGATGAGAATATCTTCTGGATTTTCCGCTGAGAGGCAAGACCCCATTCTTAATGAGGATGAAGAAGATGAAGGTTGAGAAGACAATAACGATGCTAGAAGAAAGATTGTGATTGACAAAGCCGTATTCAATGCAAGCTCTAGTTGAACAATCCATTAATTTTATTCTGTGCATCCATTTTTTTATGCCCAGGAACTGTGCATTGATATTATTATAATATATATCTTTGACCAGGACGTTTAGAACAGAATAAATTCAAAAATAGAAATAAAAATTAAAAAAATTTATATTTTAATTAAAAAATCTTAAATTTTTTGGTTTAAAAATTTTCAATGAATAATACAAATTAAAATTAATACAATTTAAAATTATAATATATATTATTAAAATAAAATAAAAGGTGAATGGTTCAATTAGTTTATTCTAATTTAAAGTATTTATTATTATTATTATTATTATTATTATTATTATTATTATTATTAAATTAAATTTAGAAATATATGAAAATAAATTAAAATAATAAATATCATAATTAATTATATGTAATATTTTTATAATATATTTTTTATTAAATAATTATTTTACTATAATATATTTAATAAATTTATAATAAAAAAAAATAAAAAATCATCCAAAATAACCAACAAAATATTAATTTTTCATATTTACTTTGCATAATTTTTTAAAACAAAATCAAATCCAGCAACATCCTTAACACCCGTATTTTGTGGTTCCCTAGGTAGTGAACAGAAAAAGTCACATAATATATAAAAGAAAATGATAATTATTATGATGTGATACAAGATAAAGAAAAATTTTTGATCCATAGAATGCTCAAAATCTTGATCATGAATGTTTGTGAAATTCATGTTATCTTTTTGTACCTATATATATATATGTATATATATATATATATATATATATATATATATATAGAGTGAAAAATATGGAAAGAAATGTATGAAAAATTGAAAACTCTTTGTAATGAAATTAGACTTAGATATCTTAATAGCACGAGTGTGACCAAAAAAGTGTAATTAAAATGGTCAATCATATATATTTTTACGGTGATTAGTAACATTAGTAAAAAAAAACTCTTATTTTTCTAAAAGCAAAGACAACTATAAAAAGTGATAATTATATATCGTATTTAAAGATAAATAATCAATCTCGTTGTGATATATTTTTAAAAATAGTTCTGATTTTCTGTTATAGATGTACAAAATTACAACAATTTTATGTATAAAATTAGGATTTGTACGAGTTATAATGTTTAAGGGTTAAATTGAGTTTAAAATATATTTTTTAGGATCAATTCAATATTAAATTATAAAATAGAGAGAATAATTGTTCATAAAAAAATAATTATTGTATTTTTTTTTCATTTATATATTGGAATTTGTTTTTTTCAAATACTATATAATGTAAGGGCTAATTTGGTGGATAATGATCCTATGTTTCTTTGTTGAGAAGACAATTTTTTATGAAAGTGAGTTGAAAATAATAATAATAAAAAATCATGAAATTATTAAAGTAAAAAAAATAATTAATAATTATCTTAAATCATTAATGGAGTAGTTAGCTGTTAAGCTACCTTCAATTTATTGGGCCATTAAATTTGTATACCTACTCAGCTATGACATGGTTTGGTGAATTGAAATTCATTACACTGATTTGGTCGGCTGAATTTAAAAATGCTTCAAATAGACATTCCATCCTGTACTTTTTCAAATGATATACCATTACAAATTTAAAGGATTAAAATAAAAATTTTAAATATAAAAAAAATAAAGCATAAAATAATAAAATATAAAAGATAAAAATATTTTAATAATCATTTACCTAATATTTTATAATTTTGTTTTTAATAATATATTCTAAAATATTATTCAATATATTTCTTTCTCATAATAATTATTAAGTTGATAGTTTTAACTCTGTGTTTCGTTGGGCAGAACGGTGACCTATTTTATAAAATATTTATATATTAAAAAATATTATAATTAAAAATATTATATTTTTTACAATATATTATTAAAATATTTAAATAGTATAGTATTCGAAAGATGATCTATACCCAAGATTCAATAATAAAGATGTCTTAAATGAATTTGACTTAAATTGAAATCTTCCTTGGGCCTCTTTAAGATACATCATCAAACCTATAAATATGAGACAATTTCATCTACCAACGAAACTGTTGCTACAAGTCTCATCTATTTTCTCTTAATTTAGATAGTTCATACAAATAGTCTTGTTCTCACACCATTTTGTCCTTGTGCCTTTATTCTTTACCCCTTTGCCATAATATTACATTCTTAATTCCATTCAACTTTTTTTAGCATTAATAAAAATACTTTTTTAGATAGAATGTTTTGGATATGTTTTTAAAAGTCGTGAAGAGAGAAAAAAAAAACTACATGGAATTGTTCTCTTAACCCTAATCTCATCTGGCTGTGCCATCACACAGTTTAAAGCCACTGTAGTCAACACTTCCATCTTACTCTTATCATAATCAGGTCCAATAGCAGGTTCAATTATTTGTTCCACCCAGGATGAATTGGCGTTGCTTCTTTTTTCTCTCACCCATGCCACTAGCCTCCCATCATATGCCTCTTCACCATCAATATCTTGGACACTTGTTGCTGTGCTTTTCCCAGTTACCATTTCCAAAACAACAATTCCATAGCTATAAACATCCACCTTGGATGTGATAGGCAAGTTAAAAACCCACTCAGGTGCCATGTAGCCTCTGGTCCCTCTGATCATAGAGATGCTTGGATTGTTGGGGTTATCTCTCTTCAGGAGCTTAGACAAGCCAAAGTCTGCTAACTTTGGCTCATAGTTGGAATCTAGAAGTATGTTTTGTGGCTTTATATCACAGTGCAAAATCCACTCCAAACATTCTTCATGCACATATGCTAGAACTCTTGCAGTTCCAATTGCAATGTTATATCTCTTACTCCAATCAAGTGTGTTAGTTGAGAGATTTTCTGCCAAAGAACCATTCTCCATATACTCATACACCAACAATCTATGCTTTCCCTCAGCACAATATCCCCACATTTCAATCAAGTTCATGTGGTTAAGCCTTCCAATGATGCTCACTTCAGCAAGGAATTCCCCTTCTCCTTGTTTAGCTTCATCCAGTCTCTTAATTGCTGCATATCTTTGATCTGATAAAATGCCTTTGTACACAACCCCTCCTGCACCACTTCCAATCTCTTGACTGAACCCCTTTGTAGCCTTTTTGAGCTCAGAGTAGCTAAATTTTCTGAATCCCGTTGCTGTAAGATGGTAGCCCTGTTGATCTGTGTTAGACTTTTGGCTGGTCCTAATTAGGAAGCACCAAACCATCAAAACGCAAACCATTTCAAAAGCTCCCAGTGCCGTTGCAAACCACATAAAAACACTCACAATACGACTTGCATGTGTTTCGATATAAGCTCTTTGAAGTTTAACTGCACATACACGATGATCATGTGCAGTGTCAGCAGCAGATTCTTTGACAGAGACAGTATAAGATTTGGGCACTCTCAATTATGTTGCTCCTGGGAATCTCGGTGAACGTCGTCCATTGAGCAATTGTGTTTTGGTATAACACTTGAAGCAAAAGCCCTTTTTATCGGTATAGGAATGCTGAAACCCCTGACAAGTGCAATTTTTCAAGCACAAATTCTCACAAGCACTAAAGTTACTAACTTCTACATAATAATTATCATACCCATAAAATTCAACACCCCGCATCTCCAAGAAGGTAGACTCATTCCAATTGCAGGTGATATCAAACATGGGTTTACACCCATAAGACCATTCACTTTGGTTGTTCCATCTGTAGCCCGGAAGACACTAACAATTTCTCCCACTTTTAGATTCATAACCACAAGTGCTGTTGGCTCCGCAAACCCCATGAATCAAGCAACCATCAGTAATAGCTTGCCACGAAACCTGCCATTTCTCTAACACCCTATTTCGACTATACACTCGGACATTACCATCAGAATCCAATTTCAACCTTCTCTGCAGCACCGTGCCATAATCTGATGTTACAGAAGTGAAGTTATCTGATGAATAGAAAACCCCAAAAGAATTCAACACAGCAATTCTACTGCTATTGAATAAAGTCCTACCAACATCCCAACTTACTCGCCAGGGACTTGGCCAGTAATTGCTGGAAACATCAGGGCCATCATATACAAGACGAAGAATGTTATCATCGTCGAAGAACATCTTATAGAAACTGTTGTAAAAAAACTGAAAGAGACACGATAGAGAATTTATTACTGAGGCGTGAATAATCAATTACGTTAATTACTTATCTGCGGTACGCACGTTTTCCACTATACAACAGGAACATTTCGGAATATCTAAGGATCTCAACAACTATCAAGAAAGTCTCAAAAAGAGTAAATTAACCCAAAAAATATGAGAGAAGAGAAGATGAGAGAGTTGTTTTTTGAAAAATGTGAAGTGGTAGAAAGTCTGTAAGAGTTATGTAGACTTGGTAGTGGGTTTGTAACGTCTGAAAAGGTATTGTGAAACGTGTGTGAGAACACGTTGTCATCGGCAACGTTATCTCAAAAAGTCTTCTGCAACCTGTATCTAAAAGAGTCTTTTGTAACGTGTGAACATTCGCTCTGAAACAGTATTCTGTTAGATGTAATAACTTGCAATACCCCTTAATTTACAACACAGAAACCAGATGGATGAATGGTTAGTGTGGCTTCTTGAAGACACAAGTTGTGTGTATCTGGTAAGAGGTTGACCAGGAACGAGGGTGTCAGTGGGGAAATAAAAACTTTGCCACAGAACGGTTCCTTGAAGCTGGCCGCGTAACACAAGGTTGCCATCATCTTTGAGATGCAACTCTACTGGGTCTAATGAATCGGTGTTTGAGGACCATGCAGTGTTAAAAGCAGCATCAACCAAGACTATGTTGCCATGGCGTGTGAGGGAAAGTTTGGAGCGTTTTCCACTGACGGGAAGGTTACGGTTTGCCATCCAGGTGACCGTGTTGGGGCTGTGGAAATGAGGTTCCGTGAACCATATTGCAAAGGAATAAGCGTTCTGACCAATGGCTAAAAAGCCAGCAGAGATATCGCATTTGGTGAGATGAGAATATCTTCTGGATTTTCCACTGAGAGGCAAGACCCCATTCTCAATGATGATGAAGATGATGAAGGTTGCAAAGACAACGACGATGCAAGAAGAAAGAGTGTGGTTGACAAAGCCATAACCATAATCAATGCAAGTTACTGTTTGTGTGTACTTGTTGAATTGATGGACATCAAAGTAAGAAACAGGTGCTGATATAAATGTACAGTTGAACATCTAAACAGATTTTTTAGTGGGTCAGAAATATTGATTATTGTGAATATTATTATTAAAGGATATAAATTTCAAGAAATATCAGCACATAATGATGATTTGGGTTTCATTTTTCTGTTTACAATTTTATTAAATGTGTGTATGTGTGACTAATAATATTTTTAGTATTAGAATAGCGAATTGATGAAAAATTACAAAAATAAAATAGTAAAAGTAGCATTTTTTTTCTGAATTTCTTATTTATTTATTTAATTCCTTCTAAATTTTTACATTTGTTTTATTAAAAGTGCCCGTACACAATCGAATATTTGGATATTTATCAAACAAAACCAAAAAATTTCAATTATTTTCAGAAAATATGTCCATTTACTATCATATCATTACAACTCTTGGAAAAAAAATCCACTAATAAAAGATCTAATATAAGTTTATAAATATTTCCTATTAGATCATTTTAATACACCATCAAATTCCATAATCATCGTATTGGAGATGATAAAATAGATTTAGTTCAATGTTAGATGAAATTAAAAATATAATAAATCGAAATTAACATTTTTTGACAATTGTTGACTTTTTAACCAATTTAATTTTTAAAATCAATAATTATATACATATATCAAATAAATATATTTAAAAGTTTAAATTAATTTAATTTTATATTACTAAAATAAAAAAATATTTTTACTTATTTAAATGTATAATTATTTTTAATTTTTATTTTCTTCTTAATCGGGTCAAAATGAATCATTTGTCCAACATACCATTATTTTCATTAACTTAGAATCAAGTCTACCTAAGAAAATAGTTACCCTCATTGGTAGTGCATTACCTTAAATAATGATGAATTCCACATAAATTTGGAGAATGAGTTTGATGTAGCAACTAAATGGTGACTATTAGACGTGCTTAATACTAAGAGTGTTAATACATTGCCTTTAATGTGCCCTCACTTGCACGTAATCATGACAAGTACATTTCTTTCAGAATCAAATTGCTGCATTTGAAACTTGTAAGCTTTTTCTTAATTAAGATTTGTTTTATTTTTTGTTACTGTGAGATGTCAAAGTGGTGAACATACTCTTACTTGGTTTAGGATACACGTTTTATAGACATTCCAAATATTTCCTATCTTGTATTTAGTTAAGAACTTTTAACTGTATGAAACTTAATCTTGAAAGAACAAAATGCTTTCCAAAGGTACTTGTTATATGATAGAAAAATGTAGAATTTGCAAACTTTTCTAATTGAAGACTTTTGATGTTGACTCTTGTAAAGAGATAAAGGTTAAATGGATACAAAATCTTAGTGGTTAGTTCATGTAAAAAAATGAAAAGGAATATTCTTTCATCCCCTATAAAAAGAAATCAAATGAGATAAAGTATAAACATCGTAAGAGACATTACTGTTTAGAACATTTTTTTAGGTCACTTTATTTAAATTTTTAATGTCAGTTTTCTAAGGTAACATATAAAGTGCATACATTTTTAATTTTCTATGTTAGTTATAAATACAATTGATATAATTTTTTTACATGATTTTCTCTTCCTCTTTTATATATATTTTTTCGCATAAAATTAAAGATTAAAATTTTTTAGAAAAAACATAACAACTCAACTAATTTAAATTTAAATTTCAAGTTTATATAATAATAATAATAATAATAATAATAATAATAATAATAACCTCTCAAGTGGAAAAATTATAAAAATTAACCTGTTGTGGTACTTAGATTAATGTTTTAATAAAGTATTTATTAGGTTGATAAATTTTTCATTTCATTATTTACTGATTTCTTAAAATTTTATTAGTTATTAATTTTAATATTAAATTTAATTTGAAAATTAGTCAACATTTTTGTCAATATTAGTAAATTATATAGTAGGTAACGTAATATTTGATGAAGAGTAGCATCTAAATTAATATATTAATTTATTAATGATGTATCTATTGATACATATCTTATGTAAATGATATAATATAATAGAATATAATTATATATAATAATAATAATAATAATAATAATAATAATAATAATAATAATAATAATAATAATAATAATAATAATAATAATAATAGTCTGACTTAGGATTAGTTTTCATGGGTTTGAAGCATTTCTACTACTTGGCTCATGCTGGGTCTCAAATCTTTGTTTTCTTCAACACAATCCAAAGCCACTCTAGCCAAGAGCTCCATCTTACATTCATCGTAATTTGTTTGAATTGCAGGATCAATGATTTGTTCTAGCCAACATGTGCCACTCTTTTTATCTTTCACCCATGCTACTGGACTTCCATTATATGATTCTTCTCCATCAATGCTTCCCACACCCGTTCTTGGACCTTTTCCAGTTATCATCTCCAGAACAACAATTCCATAGCTGTAAACATCAACCTTGGAGGTGATTGGTAAATTGTACACCCACTCAGGTGCCATATAGCCTCGAGTTCCTCTTATCATTGAAAACCTTGGACTTTTCTGCAGCTTATTTCTGTTTAGTAGCTTGCACAGGCCAAAATCTGATACCTTGGGTTGATAGTTAGCATCAAGAAGTATGTTCTGGGGCTTTATATCACAGTGCAAAATCCATTCCAAGCATTCTTCATGCAGATATGCTAGAACTCTTGCTATTCCAAGAGCAATGTTATATCTCTTACTCCAATCAAGCGTGTTGGATGAGAGATTTTCAGCCAAGGTACCATTCTCCATATGCCCATACACCAACAACCTATGCTTTCCCTCAGCACAATATCCCCACATTTCAATCAAGTTCATGTGGTTAAGCCTTCCAATGATGCTCACTTCAGCAAGGAATTCCCCTTCTCCTTGTTTAGCTTCATTCAGTCTCTTTATTGCTGCATGTCTTTTATCTGATAAAATTCCTTTGTACACAACCCCTCCTGCACCCCTTCCAATCTCTTGACTGAACCCCTTTGTGGCCTTCTTCAACTCAGAATAGCTGTATTTTCTGATTCCCACTGCTGCGAAATGATACCCTTGTTGATCTGCACTAGATTTTTGGCGGGTCCTAATGAAGAAACCCCAAATCATCGAAAGGCAAATCATTTCTAAAGCCCCAAGTGCAGTGGCAAACCACAAAGAAAAACTCACAAAACGATTGGCTGACTTTCTAACAAAGTCTTTGTGATGCACCACTGAACAAACATGATCATCTGCCTTCATAGATTTTTCCTCGGAGAAGTTATTGTTTTTTGGCAGTTTTAGAGAAATTGTTCCTTTATATAGTGGGGAATACCTTCCATTCAGTAACTGTATCTTTGTAAAGCAGGTAGAGTACTCCCCATCATATTTGTACTGAAACCCTTTGCAGTTACAATCTTGCAAACATAAATCTACACAGTTCATGTATGTACTGTTTGGGTGAAAAATATGATCATAGCCGTAAAACTCGACTCCCTGCATCTCTAAAAAGGTAGACTCATTTCCAATGCAAGTAAGATCAAACAAGGGTTCACACCCGGAAGACCAATCACTATGGTTCTTCACTCTGTATCCTGGTAAACACGAGCATCTCGTTCCCCTTTTAGGATCATAACTGCAAGTGCTATTTGCACCACAAATCCCGTGAACGGTACAGGTATCAAATATAAATTGCCATGAAATGTACCATTTCTTTAAAGCCTCATTTCTACTGTACACACGAACATTTCCATCAGAATCCAGTGTTAATCTTCTCGGCATCACCTTGCCATGATCATCCGAGGAAAATTTGTAATTATCTGATGAAGTGAAGTCTCCAAGAGAACTCAGCACAGCAACTCTGCTGTTATTGTAATTAAATCTTCCAGCTTGCCAACTGAGTAGCCAAGGTGGAGGCCAATATGTGCTTGAAACATCAGGGCCATCATAAATAAGGCTAAGGATGTTGTTATTGTCAAAGAGCAGCTTATAGAAACCAGATGAATGATTAGTGTGGCTTCTTGAAGACACAAGTTGTGTGAATCTAGTAAGAGGCTGACCTGGAAGAAGAGTATCCGTTGGAAAATCAAAACTTTGCCACAGAATGGTTCCTTGGGGCTCACGTAGAACAAGATTCCCATCATCTCGGAGATGCAACTCTACTGGGGCATCTGATGCTGTGTTTGAGGACCAAGTGGTGACTTGATCGGCATCAACCAAGAAGATGTTACCACTGTCTAAGAGGGAAATCTTTGAGAGCTTCCCATTTACGGGTTGATTGCGGTTTGCCATCCAAACCAGTGTCAGTGGTGTTGTGAGGTTGAGGGTGGTTGAACCATATGGCAAAGGAGAAAGCATTTTGACCAACTTGAAAGAAGCCAGCACAGAACATTTGATTGGGTGAGACAATAACGTCTTGTTCGTGCTTCTCCACCGAGAGAGAGGACCCCTTATTCAATGAGGAGAGGGAAGATGAAGATTGGAAAGAAACAAGCAAGAGTAGAGAAAAGAGTGAAATTGAGAAACCCATGATGGTGCTATTGCAGACCAAATTCTTGATGATATTTATGTCCGAACGTGAATGATGCCACACTGTTTATATACAAAGAAATAGCAGAATGCTAAATTGCACGAATCATTCTATTCATGTTTTTTATTGGATTTGTAATTTAGTTATACGTATTCCTATGTGAATGGAAGGCCAGTTTAAGACTAAAAATGGTACTCGTCCTCTTCCTTATACAATATGAAGATCGATTGCGAAAGAAAAGTTAAGGTTGGTTATCGATTTTATTTATGATAGAAACCATATGGTGTATCTCCGACAAAATAACAGAAGTATTGATCGAGTCAAAATCTTGAAAAGCTTTTAATTAAATGTTACGCAGTCAATAAAATGTTTGATAATAGGTTGAAGAGGCAAAGAAATTTTAGATTGTGGTCATGATTTGATTATTAAAATAATAATATATGGTCTTTGAATATACAATATAAAATTATATTATAATGTGAATCATAAATATTTATAAATTAAGATTAAATGATTGATTATTGAATAATTTAACATATAAATATAATATTTTTCTCAATTTATTAATAAATATATTAATTAATACAAAAATTTAAAATATTCATAATCAAATGTATATTTTTTTAAATAATTCCTATTATAAATAATAAGAATCAATTAAGTTTATAAATAAACATATTCAGAGGTAATATTGTATAAACAAATTATTACGAAAACACTAAAAGAAAATTGTTACCCGTTCTATCATGACTAATAGAAAAACATATTATCATACTTTAATAATCTTCTTTCATTTTTTTTTCTTTACTTATTTTTCTTGTCTTTAGTTTATGTTATTTGTTTTGATTCTTTGCTTATTTAAAATTTACTTTATTTGAATTTAGATCTAGTTTATTCTTTGATTAATTTATTTCAAATAGTTTTATTATTTTTTATCATTTATAATTTTTCAATTTATGTTTGAACGATCTTTTTTACATTTTAATTATTTATTATTTCAATATTTTTTTCTTTAATCCGAACTTCGTCTCTTTTTCATATTTTAAAGTTTTCATAGTAAAATCCCAAAATAAAAAAAAATTATCTATATTTCTTCAATTCAAATGTTTAATGATAATAATCATAAATATAATTTATAATCGTATAAATTAATAAATTAGTTTATTGGGTTGCTTTAAATATTTAAAATTTCGAAAGAAAATTATAATATAAGCTGAAAATTGTAAACGATTACTAGTTATAATTATAATTGACTTTTGATTAAAATACATGCTCTTGGAAAACACGTCTTCCATTTTATTTTAGGTGTGGAAAGAAGAAAAGGACAGAAAGAAAAAGATAAAAGTATAGATGGAAGAGACATAGAAGAAAAAGAAGTTAAAAATGAAATTATGTGTTTAAGACTGTATAATATAGGAGATAGTTATTTGAGAAAGTAACAAAATAAAACAAAAGAAAACTTGATGTAATATTTTGACCAAACACTAATTAAGAAGACTATTTGTATAATATAGCACGAATCCAGTTAGATTTTTTTCTTAATGGATAAGCATGTGTGAAATAACATTAAAAAATAATTAAAAAATAATCCAAGTTTTTTTTATCACAAGATTCGCACATTAATATTTGTTCCCATCGTTCGTTTCCATTGAGGAAATAAGAAACATTAAAAACATGCTGTATGAATATACACACATGTATATATATCATTAAAAACTACATGAGAATTTTCATATATATCCATGACTTAAAAAAGTATATAAATATCAGTGTATATTTATGATTAAAAATTATATATAAACTTTTATAAAGATAAGAATCAGAATCAATTTTTTAAATAATATATTTAAAATAAAAAATTATCTAAATAGAATATCAGAAAGTTTATTTTCTAATTAGATTTGTTTATTTTTCATGCATTATTTTGCTCTCTTTTGTCAAATTTTTTTCTTTTTATTTTTTTTATTTTTTCTCTCTTTATTTATTTTTTATTATTTTTTTCTCTATCTTTCTATTTATTTTCTTTTTCTTCTCTTAGAAATGATAAAATGGGTAATATGTCTCATTTTTTATATATTCAAAAAGGGATAGGTAGGTCACGGATCAATTTACCAATAACTTTTTTTATATATATTTTAAAAAAATTATCTTTAATTATATGAATCATTTTAAGTTTTTATTTATTAAATAATATTTTTATTAGATAAACCGAAAAAATTATTATATTTATGTGTCAAAATTATTAATTATAATTGATTTAAATTTAATTTATTAAATTTTATAATTTAAATTATAATATTATAATATATTTAAATATTTTAATAATATAAAAAATATAATATTTTTAATTATAATTATTTTTATTTTAATATATAAATATTATTTTAAAGCCGACCACCTACTAGTCAGCTTGCCTGCTTTTGGCCCACTAAAATTGGCTCGATTGGATAAGATAGACTAAAATTACTAACCTGTTAATTCTGAGATAGTAGGACTGTTTTACCATCCTTATCTCTTCATTTTTTTTTCTGTCACTTATCTTATTCTTTTAATAAAATATATAAAATTAAAATTTGATAAAAAAAATTATTATTTTAAAAAATTAAAATATTTAAATTATCCAAAAATATTATAATCTAATATATTATTTTAAAAAACATTATATTATAAATTTGAAGTATTACAAATTGTTATGATAAATTATTAAGAAAATACATATTATGTGTCTCTTTTGTAAGTGAAAAAAATATATAAATTTTTTAAAATCAACATTAAAATTTAAATAATATTAATTAATTATTTAAAATTATGATGATAATAAATAAGTTTATTCATTATAACAGTATATTACGATGATATAAATAAATAATTTTAAATTATTTTATCATAATAAATCAATTATTCATTTAATCAAAAATTATTATCATTTAATAATTTTATCTAATTATAATTAGGTTGAGTTATGAATATTAGTCATATAGTAGGTAATTTAAAAAAATTATTTATTATAATTTTTTAAAAATAAATATTTTATTTTTTTTAATACTTATAACATACCAATTTGTAATATCTCAAATTTATGATATGATGTTTTTTAAAATATATAATATATTAAATTATAATATTTTTAGATAATTTAAATATTTTATTTTTTAAAAATAATAAAAAACTCATTTTATAAAATTTTAATTTAATATTTTTAATTAGAAGAATAAAAAGGAAGAAAAATAAATAAATATTAAAATAGATAATAATAATAATAATAATAAATAAATGAAACGAGATAAAAATAAAAAAATAAATAAGAAAAAAGAGAGTATAATACTTGAATTTATTTTTTATTATTAAATTTTTTTATGAATAATATACAGTATAATTAAATAAATTTCAAAAAAATTATTTAGATAATTTTTTTTAAAATATATTATTTAAAAATTTGATTCGTAATAAAGTGTGAGAGAACTACTTTTTATGCGCCTATAAATATTATTAACTTCAGCCATTTCCAAACTAAAATATTATGTAACCATTAAATCATTAAAAGAGTTGATTAAGAAAAAAATAAGTATTTAAAAGACATGAAATATCTTATATAACTTTTATTGAATATAGTGTCACATTTTTTTTTCAAATCGATTCATTTTTAACTTAATTAATATAATGATAAATAATATATAATAAGTATCTCATAGTAAAAATTATTTCATGCACATTATATATAGAGATGGAGAGAAGATTGATAAGTTATCGTAAACCTAACTCTGTAATAGAAGTACTCTTTGTTTTTCTGGTTTTAAAGATAATTTTTTTATAATTCACGAAATCATTGAACTAGTTATAATTCAAATTCAAAAACTCAAAAATCAAACTAACTATATAATTATTTTCATTCGAAGGGAACCACCTAAAATCTATTTAATCAATCAATTTCAAGAGCTAGACAAAGATGCAACTTCTCAGGCACTTTCAAGTACATTGTTCCCACAACCACCCCACCATCGTGTGGATGGCGAACCGCGTTTTGTCTTGGATGACGCTGCTCAACAAACAGTTTGGTCTTCATTCAGACACTGCTTCATTAGCTTCACCAGTGTTGCATCTCAAAGATGATGGCAATCTCGTGTTGCGTGATCTCCAAGGAACCGTTCTGTGGCAAAGCTTTGATTTCCCCACCGACACTCTCCTTCCGGGACAACCCCTCACGAGACACACGCAACTCGTGTCTGCAAGAAGCGAGACTAACCATTCCTCCGGTTTCTACAAGCTCTTCTTCGACGATGACAACGTTCTTCGTCTTCTCTATGATGGCCCTGATGTTTCCAGCATTTACTGGCCATATCCATGGTTGGTGAGTTGGGACGCTGGAAGGTCTACTTACAATAGCAGTAGATTCGCGGTGTTAGACTCACTCGGAAGATTCATTTCATCAGATGATTTTACTTTCACCACTTCTGATTATGGCACTATGAAGCAAAGAAGATTGATGGTAACGTTAGAGTGTATGCACTGCATGATGAGTGGTTTGTTTCGTGGCACGCGAGAGCTGACACGTGCAATATCCACGGGATTTGTGGAGCTAACAGTGCGTGTAGTTATGATCCTAAACATGGAAGGAAGTGCTCGTGTCTTCCGGGGGTATAGAGTGAAGAACCTAGTGATTGGTCTTATGGTTGTGAACCTGTGTTTGTTTTATCTTGCAATATAAGTGAGTATACCTTCTTGGAGTTGCCGGGTGTTGAGATCTATGGTTATGATGCTAATTTTTCTGAACCTAATACCTATAGCTATTGTGAGAATCTGTGCTTAGAAGATTGTAACTGTAAGGGGTTTCTTTTCATTTCTGTATTAGTTTTTACTTTTTTCTTATTGTATACAAAATTAAAATATGTGTTGAAGGGTTGTTTAATTTAAAAAATAAATTTTATTATTTTAAAACTTTTATTATTATAATCTTACTTCTTTAATGAACTCAATTTTTTAATAATTTATTAATTTAAAAACTAATAAATTGCATGATTTTGAAAGTTGTGGGGAAAGTTGCATGACCTTCGTTTTTCATCCTTTTGCAAAAAAGAACAAATTATAGGGCGTATGATCTTTTTCTTGCATTGTTATATGCTCAATCTTTGAGATCGGGTATCAAATGAAATAAAAAGTAATACTCTAGAGGTTGAATAGAGTGATACTAATATTCAAACATTTTCCTCAAATTAACTTGTATATTGCAAACTACTGGAGAGTAACACTGGAGATTCAAAGATAATTTTCTAAAACAACAAGTCAACTCTTAATTTTGTATAAAGAAAGACCAATATACCAAATTTATGCTACTTGTTTGTGATTTCACTGCATCTCTTGATAAACAGATATGGATGGATTCAGGTATTGCTTAATCTAAAAAACATTGGTCATTTAACGTAATAAAGTTGTCCCTCATTAGTTGAGTGGAGTATATGAATTTCGATCGAGTTCAATATAACGTAATAAAAATACCAAATTATGAAAATTTTATCCATAAAAAAGTTTATCCCAATAGCATTAAAAATTTATATAGGAGCCATGGATCACACAATACCAACTCTTGTAGAGTGTCTTGTAAAACACATGTACTTGAAATGGTGCTCGGGATTTTCTTTCTGATATACAAGTAGCTTTCTAGTTCTCAGTCATCACATCCTTTTCTCCATGGACTGAAGCGAAAAACCACAAATATATTTAGTTATATACATATTAGAGTGAAATTTTATGAATGTAATTGTAGTGGATTTACAAAGAGGGAGTAGTTCCTCGCTGTGGTGCTTTGTTCCTAGAATTTGTGCCCCATTCGATGGCTTCAGCAACTGCCCTTTGGCGTTCAATGGCCCTGATATCCTGATCAAGAAGATTAGGGGCATTGTTGGCTTCTTGGTCTTGTGATGGGGAGGGCATGTGAACAGGTGACGTTCCTGAGACTTCTTGATTCTCTGGGACTGTCCCAAGGAGACTAAGAGCAGTCACAACATCTCTGATCAAGGGTCTCTCTAATGGCTCCTCATTCAAACACATGGCTGCTACTGCCACTGCTTGATGCAAGGATCTCATTGGAAATTTTCCTTCAAGAAGAGGGTCTGCTAATTCTGAGTATCTGTTAGAGTTCTTGAATATTGGATTTGCCTGTTTGGTATCAAAAGAATTAGCCCAAATGTACTTTGCATTAGTCTGCTGAGAAAAATGAAACTGGATGTGTTCTGAAGAAGTATCCATTAATTTACTATCTCATGAAAGAATTTAAATAAACAGTTTGTGAAAGTCTAAAACCATGCACAATTATTCCGTTCCTGAACAAACTATGGAATTTTAATTGAACTATATGTGATCCTCCCTGAACATTTTCTTCATAGCGAAATTTAATATATATGCTAGTGAGTCACAATCAATAGTACACTTGAACAAATTTAAGATCGCTCCATGGACAACACAGAAGATGAATATGAAAACTCACCCAAGAAACTAGATTTTGCTCCCGTGATGATCTTGTGTTCTCAATGGCTCTCCTTCCAGTGATCAATTCAAGCAAAACAACTCCAAAGCTGTATACATCTGATTTTACAGTTAGTTGACCAGTTCTTTGATACTCAGGGGCACAATATCCATAAGTACCCATGACTCTTGAAGATACATGAGACTTGTCCCCTGTAGGACCCAACTTTGCTAGTCCAAAATCAGAGAGTTTTGCATTGAATTCTTTGTCTAATAAGATGTTAGATGATTTCAAGTCACGGTAGATGACTTGAGGATTGGCCTTGTCATGCAAATATTCTAGACCTTTTGCAGCATCCAAAGCTATTTTCATTCTGTTGAACCATTCTAGAGGCCTCTTTCCTGGAGGAAGATCTGCACCAATGTTTAATAAAATATGGATTAGGAACCAATATACTATTTTAGTGTATCAGATTGACTGTGTAGTTTTTAGTTGTCACTATAATTGAGATGTTTTGAGTTTTGTTTTCCCCCAAAAAGTCTACATAATAGTGACTTATAAAAAGAAATATTTTCTTTCAGCTCCACTGTTCTTATGAAACTTTCTAATTCTTCTAATGTCAATGTTAAATATATAAAAACGACACAACACATGCAAGGTGAATCTTACCAAGAAGATGGTCCTCAAGGCATCCCAATGGCATGTACTCATAGACCAATAATCGTTGATCTCCATCAGCACAATATCCAATGAGATTGACCAGATTTGTATGGTGCAAAAGACTCAACATTAAAACTTCAACAAGAAACTCTCTATTCCCTTGTAATCCATTCCTGTCAAGTTGCTTCACAGCTACTTCCTGTGCATTTAAATTACCAAATATCAGCAGAAAAAGAGAGCTAAGTACTTAATAAGTGCAAAAAAAAAGTGTGATTGTCCTACCTGGTTGGTTTTTTCAAATTTTCCTTTGTAAACCCTCCCAAAACCACCTTCTCCTATTAGGCATTCCTGCCTGAAGTTCTTTGTGATAGTAGCCAATTCCCTGAAAGTGAAAGTTTGGGCAGCAATGTTGTTGTTCCCATTATCTTTGTTGGCCTCCTTGTTTATTTTAGGTTCTGTTTGTGGGTTTGCCTTTGCCTTGTTATTATGATTCTCTGTCCAAAACAAAACGGTGCACCAGGCATCCCCTCAAGCGATAAATTTTTCATTACAGAACATATATTTATAACATGTAAACAAACACAGAGGATTGAAATCGAAAGGAAAGTTCATGATTCATGTTCAAATGATTCACCTGGTCGTGACTGAGTCGATCGGGCTGATTCTTTGGTAGAACGAGTAGCAGACTGTTGCATCTTCTTTCCACTGTTAGAATGTTTGGCTGCTTTCTTTTCATTGGATGAAAAACATGAAAAGCAACTCATTTCTCTACGATATTGATTCAAGTACTAGGAACAAAAATTGTTTGTTTTTTAAGTGGAAAAAAAAAAAAAAGGCCTTCGGATAGATTTAATTATTAAAACCCTAGACACTCCAAATTGTGAATCTATCAATAAAAGCTTCCCTATCTATTACTCCACCATGGCAAAGAAAACTATGTTTTACAAATTGAAAATGGTTTGGAAAATTTGAGGAGTGTTTAATAGGCTTGTCTTAAGAATTATAAAAATCAAAAGAAGAGGAGCTCCAAAATACTAACGTGGGTTGTTTAAGACGTAACTTTGAACAAATTATGAAAGCAAAGGAGAAGAAAACTAATGGGGTTCAAGAACCAAGGGACGATGTACCAAGGATAACCCAATTGAAGATGCAAACCCCATCAAAACCCAAATGCCATGCATCTAATGGGGCCTAACAAACCAAGAAACAAAGAGACACCGTGGAGAAGTGAGTATGGGAACAAACTTGGTTGATGATAATATTTTTTGGTGTTCCCACAGAAGGTGGCTAGAATGGTGCGAAGTTTTAAGCATGCTCCCAACTTGTATGAGAGAGAAAGAGAAACATAACCAATTTCAATGGGTGGAATAGAGGTCATCATGCGTTACACAAGACAAAGATAGTTCCAATTCAATCCATATTTTGACATAGATAAAATTATATTATCTTTCCCACGTCAGATTTAAATAATAATAATAATAATAATAATATTTTAAAACTCAACCGATGATTCAATCGGTTAAAAACATGTATTTAGAATTTACATATATTTAGAATTTAAAAATTTAGTGAGGTTAAACAAAATTTAATAAAATAATATTTTTATAATATAATAAACATATAATAATTTTTTTAAATAATAATAAAAATTATGTTAAGTTACAATAAAAATAAAAATAATATTAAATAATATAAAATGGATAATAAATAAAACAATATAAAAATATAATAAAATAATTATTTTTTGAAATTGATTTAATTAATATAAAATAAAAAAATTAAAATATATTATATTTCATATAAAAAAATTATATTAAAATAAAGTCGATAAAAACTCTAATTTATTCAATTTTATTATTTATTTCAATTTTATCTTAATTTAATTAAAATCTATTTTTTAAATAATGAATGGATTCTTAATTAGTTGAACTATCTATCGATTTAGTTTTTAAAAATTATTATTATTATTATTATTATTATTATTATTATTATGATAATCATCATAATACTGTAATGAATGGATTCTTAGATTAGTTGAACGATTTATCGAACTAGTTTTAAAAAAAATAATTATTATTATTATTATTATTATTATTATTATTATTATTATAATCATAAATCTTATAAAACAATATAAGATTAAATTTTTAAGTTGAATCGATTTTAATAAAAAAATTAAAATAAAAAATTTTAAATTTTGTTTAAGGACAACAATATTTATAAAAAATAATTTTTTTTTATTTTTTTATCTCATGAATTACGATAATATTAAATAATAATTAATTTATTATATTTTTATTTTACTCTAATACCTTATTTTTTATTATATTTTATATTTATTATTTTAATACTACTAATGATGAATATAATAATATTTATTATTATTGTAATTGTTTTTTATAATTTTTGTTATTAATAATAAATTTATTACGTTTTTATTATAATATTCAAAATATTATTTTGTTAAATTTAATTTAACTTTTATTCGATATCTCTTCAATATTTTAGTATTTCCATTGGTTTATTTATTTATAGAAATTAAAATAGTTATAATATACATATATATATATATATATATATATATATATATTTAGGTTAAATCATTAAAATAAAATAATTAATAATTTAAATTTAAATTTACATATGATCTTAGTTTTTAAAAATATAACTGTTTTTAGTACCTACAGAAATATTTCATCAAAAAATTGTCCTTTTCTTTCTTTTTATAAATAACAATACTTAGTTTAAAGCTAAAAATAGAAACTATTAACTAATAAAGCTAAGATAATACAAAATATTTTAAATTTATATGTTTTTTGGTATATAATTTAATTAAATAATATATTTATTATTTAATTTAAATAAGATAATGTTATTTTTACTTTTTCATCCAATCATTTTATTTTGACATTATGTTCTTATAAAAAACATTTATATTTTACCCATACTTTGTAATTTTTTTTTCGTTAACTTTTATATTATAATATTGAATCCTTATAAAATACAAATTTTCATTTATCATTAAAAATAAAAAACAATAAAATATATTTTATTTTTCATAATTAAATTATATAATACAATTATATATAATATAAAAATTTTATTTTTCATTTTCCTGTCCTTATATAATTTTAAAATAATATAAAATATTTGTGTAAATATAATTTAAGTTAGTATCTTTTCTTATTTTATTCTTTATTAAAAAAAAGTGTTACATTTAAATCTTTGACATATTTATTAGTGTTTTTCTTTTTCATAATTATCAACTGTAATTCTTTTAGTACCAAAAATATAAAATACTAATAACAAAGATTATTTTAAAATGTATAACTGAATTAAGTAATATATTTAATATTTTTTATAAATAATATAATCACTTTTAATATTTAAAATATTAATGTGTTATAAAAAATATTAATTTTTGGAATATTAACTAATTATCTTATTTATCAAAGATTACTTTAAAAAATTATAACATATATTTTTATTTTATAATTATATATTTATCATTTTACATGTAAAGAATGGTTATTTTAATATATTATAATTAGTAACTCTAAAAATATAAATTTTTTATCATTTTCTATTTAGAAAAATATATTGTGTATGACATTAGAAAATAAATCATTTAACAATCATTTAAAATTATAACGTCAATTAATATATAAAAATTGAATTATATTATTTTTTTTATTGTTAATAAACATGGTTATACTTTATTAAAATTAAAACTAGTCATATTTGTATTTTGAATGATAAAATTCTAATTTTAAACTATAAGAATGGTGGTAGTAATATTTTTGTTTAAGTTTTTTATCTAATAGTATTATATTCATTACTTAATTAATATTCTTATTTTATTAATATTTATACAGACACAACCTCAAATAAATGAGAATTTTTAACTAGAAATTAAATATTTTCTTATGGATCTCATAATTGAGTTGTTTAAAATATGAAAGTTACTTATCCAAATAACTTTCTTTCAATTTTAAGCAACTTTTTCCACTTCTAAACACTACTGCAGAAAAGACTTTTTACATCGGTTAAAATGGGCTTTCTACGTCGGTTAAAGCGGCGACATAGATACGGGGGTCATAGAAAGTAAGACTTTCTACGTCGGTTAATAGGAACCGACGTAGAAAGCCCTACTTTCTTTGAGCTATTATGATCGGTCAAACTGGTTATGATCGGTCATAGAGCTATTCTGATCGATCATAACTGGTTATGATCGGTCATAGAAAGACTTTCTACGCTCGGTTAGTCGGGAACTGACGTAGAAAGTCTTATTTTGTATGAGCTATCCTGATCGGTCATAACTGGTTCGATCGGTCATGAAGCTAATCTGATCGATCATAACCGATTCTCGACTGTCATAATATTCTATGTCTTACTTTCTATGTCGGTTAAAATTATAACCGACATAGAAAGTCATACTTTCTAACTTTCTATAACCCCAAGTATGTATATCGGTTAACGAGAATCAGTGATTGTATGTGTTATCAATGTCGGTTATGCCTATAACCGACATAAAATGTTACACTTTCTACGTCGGTTATGCCATTAACCGACGTAGAAAGTACTTTCTACGTCGGGTAATGACATAACCGACGTAGAAAGTGTTATTTTTTTTTAAAATACCTGCATTTTATTTACAGATGCTACCTTTCTTCGAGTAGACTCGCCTATTCATCACAGTTCCAGACAAATAACCACAGATCCAATGCATGCACGGATATGCACAGTTCATATATAAATTTGCTACGTATATATATCCAAGTATGACAGATTCGATTCGCAGACAGATATGTACATATGAAACACATTGAAATGAATATATGTACAGTACAGATCCAGTTCCAGACAGTTCATTTACTTAAACGGATGTAAATTTCCTAACTTAAATCAATTCTATCTAAATTGTTACAAGTTAAATTTCCTATGAAGATTGAATGCTTAAAAGGAAAGAAGCCCACTCTGCTCTCGATATCGTCTAAGACTTCAATCTTCATTGGAGATGAGTCCGTAAATTCCTACATATTGAAACATTTCGATTTAGAAATCATTTACATAATTGGCATATTTGACTTAATTATAGTATATTTACCTCCCTCCAGGTGTCAAGAATATTTTTGGCTACAATGGTGTGCATGTGCTTCATCACATAAAACCCGCACTCATGGCTTCCCGGTTGACGTGGACACTACAAGTTAAATACATGTCGATTAACTTTAAATGACAAATTGAACAACAAGTAAGAGGTGTTTGGTCACCTTTGGTGCAATATACGTCAACTTCTTTCTAGCATGAGATGGAAGACCTTGCAACCTTAGGTGAGCTTCCAAAGCTCTACAAAAGGACAAATAATTTTGGTGTAAGTAGTGCACATATGATACAACAATTAAAAACAACCAAACTTACGCGTCTATGTGCTTTCTAATATCCAAATCATTTGGTTTCTTGTGTAATGAACACAAGAGAATCACAAGAAATTGGCGAGGAACAATTATTATGAGCTGCCAATGACCCCCTGCACATTGCAATAATATTAGTAAAATTTCAGCTTTACATAAATGTGCATTAATTTACAAGATGTATACTTATCGATGCAAGTAAGGTGCTAAGTAGACTTCTTTGCCCCCATTTTGAAATGCCTCTATTAAGTACGTTTGCACCTCTTCAGCTTTATTCCCAA